GGTTTGGCTTCCAGCCGAGGATGAGTTCCACAGAGCTGTTGTCACTTGCAAGGTCGTCCTGTCCTGGTCATGGCCGAGTGTTGATGCAGGGCCACGGGACATGCTTTTTGATGATGTGTGAGCCCAGCCGAAGTGTGGGGGCTGCTGGAGCCGGTAGGCCGGCAAAGGTGCGTAAGGCACGGGCCGGCCTCCACCTTGGGAGCGAGCACCAGTGAAGCTGATACACACGGGTGTCCCTCAGGAGGGCCCTTTGTGCTCTCCATGGTACCACCCGTGCTGGCCCATCTCCACAGGAGGCGAACCACCACCTGCCAGCAGCACTTTGCCAGTGGGAGCCCACCAGCCATCCACAGGGAACACTTTTGTGTAGGTACTGGGTGCTTGGATGCCAACCTTCCCCAAAGATGAGGCTCACCTGTGGGCACGTGTGGGGGAGACTTGCTCATTGAATTGGGTTTGCCTCGCTTTTAACTGGGATTTTCTCCCGAGATGGACCGGAGGAGGAGGAGGAGGAGGAGGAGGAGGAGGAGGAGGAGGAGGAGGAGGAGCAAGGGAACCCAGTTCCTACTGACTTCTGTTTTGCATCTGAAGACTCCGCAATAGGCAAGGGACAGGAGTGGGCTGCAGTCCCAAGGGAGTCCCAGGAGGTTGGGTGCCATCAGGCTCCTGCAGGACATGCCCGGGCGTCAGTGGTGCATATTTGTTGCTCTAGAACTTTGTACCTTCAGGGGTTGTGAGGTGTGATTTTTTTCACCACAATTGCCACCCACACGTGCAGGCTAGGGCCCGTGGGGGCCAACAGCGCTCCGTGGGGAAGGCGTAAGAGGGCCTGTTGCCCTGCCCTCAGCCGGCCCCACTGGGTACAGGCTGATGTGGGTGTTGGGGGGGGGCACATGTGGGCCCCGGTCTCCATATTGGATTTTCTGAATTTTCTGGGGCTCTCTCCTGAGGTTGGTCTGTGTGTGGGAGCCATGGGTGGTAGGAAGGGAGTTCCCCAGTAATACTCATTTTTTGGATTTTAAGTCTGGCTCTGTAGGAAACAGGCCAGCAGCTAGGTAAGGGGTGGGGCGTGGCCACAGTGCTGAGGGGTGTTTCTAAGGGGCCGCAGGTGCTACCAGGGTCCTTTGGGTCCCACCTGGGCAATGACACTGCACCTTTTTCTGGAGATTATCCCTGTGGGGTCACGGGCATAACCTTGGGGGCAACTCCTGGCCCAAGTGTGGAGCTGGCCAGGCCCCTGGACTGGCACCCCCATAGGTGCCCCTGCTGCTGGAGCTGAATAGAACTTGGGGGGGAGGGGTGTCTGGCTCCTGTGGAGGCCACCTGCTCCGGAGATGGGGACTACACAGGTCACGCAGGGAGGCAGGTGCAGGGTGCGACTTCGGTCCTGCAGTTGTCAGATGGGATTTTTCCGTGCTCACCCCCAAGGCTGGGCCAGCCTGGGCTGTATGTGCAACTCAGAGCGGAGGCTGTGGTTGCTGCTGGAGGCACCTCCGCCCCTTTTCTGAGTCCACACCCACAGACAGAGGGTCATTAGGATAAAGGTGTTGGGGTGTGGCAACAGGTGTCCAGGAAGGATTGATTGTAGGGGGTTAGTGGTCATGCCAGGGCATCAGTGCTGTGTCTGTTCACCAGGGTACCTGCATCGGGGTGTGGTCTGTAGCCACACATTTTGGGCCAAGGTGTGGGGCCTCCTGGGAAGGTAGCCAGCACCCTGGTGGTGCGGTGCCCTTTCTTTTTTTTTTTTGGTACGTGCCCTTAGCGGGAACTGAACCCGGGACTCTCTGGTCCGCAGGCCGACGCTCCAACCGCTGAGCCAAACCGGCCGGGGCTGGTGGCGCCCTTTCTGCCTGCGGAGGCTGGCGGGGCTCCATGGGGAATGGGACAGGGGGTTCCACGACTGGAGGTGGGCCCCTCACGGGCTAGGACTGGAGGTTGGTGTGTGGGGGAGGCAGGTGGAGGGCATGATGAATGGCTCAGCGGGCACTCCTGGGACCCTGGTCGTCCAATTGTATTTTTCTCCAGGGCTCTCTTATTAGGTGGGGCCGCCTCAGGGCCGTAGGTGAAACATGGGGGGGGGGGGGGTCGGAGTCTGCGGTCCCTGGGGGGGAGGGTAGGAGTCTGCAGTCCCTGCGGGGGGGTAGGAGTCTGCGGTCCCTGGTGAGGCTCGTTTGTAGGAGGTGCCTCCGTGGAATGTTTTCTAAGTCCCCAGATACAGACACGGACCGACAAGCCCCTGCCCCAGGGGTGGTGGAGGGTGCACCTGGCCCGCACAGCTTCTGTCCTTTCTACTTCCACACCCCGTGTTGAACCAGCTGGCCCGTGGGCTCTGTGGAGGCAGCAACAGACTGGTTGGGCTGTGTTCCCAGGAGGCTGCCATGACTTCTGGACCAGCCCCTCTTGTGTTTTCTGCCTTCGGATAGGCGAGGACGTGTTGAGGCGCTGAAGATATTGGTTCTTTGGACTTTGAGTGGCAGGGACCCTAGCTGAGCATTCACTGCTGGGGTGACCCCACCTCGCAGGGCTTCATGTACTGTCTGCTGTCCTCTTTTTGGGGTTGTGGGCCACACTCGTCTGGAAGGGGCAGCAAGACTGGCGCAGCCCTCCCGCTCGCTGTCCTCGCCTGGCTCCCTTGTCTGTGCACGTGGCGCTCACACAAGGAGCAGACACGATGCTTGCTCTGCCCGTGGTCCCTCCTCTCCTCCCCGCCCCGGGCTGGGTGCATAACCATGGTGCTCTGCTCATGGTCCCTCTACTCGCTGAGGTTGAACATAATGATCCACTGGCTGGTTCCTCACCAACCTGCGATCCAGCTCCGTCTGGGTCACGGGGTGTTGGGCCATCAGAAATCGAGTTGCCCTCGGGAAGGATTCTTGTCCAGATGCCAGCTCACTCCACAGGTGGGGGCTGGCACAGGCCGTGAAGGGAGCCGAGTAGAGCAGCCACACACATTCCAGGAAATTTGAGTTTCCACCTGGAGACTAAGGGGAACAGCCCTGGCCAGGCCCAGCCGCCGATCCTTCTGCCTGTGACACCTGAGGGGTTGACCAGATGGCTCCACAAGTTCCACTGTGGTACCAGTGGGGGGGTGGGTGTGGCTATAGCTCTAGGATGTTCATGTGACCTGTCGCTCAGCCCCGCCAACAGACAGTCATTATTTTTCTTCTGAAGTGGTCTTTTTATACCACGAGATTACTGGTCACCCTGATTACTGGTCACTGGTAGAAGCAGCTGGCTCTGTGGCTGGCAGGCTGTTGGGCTCGACTCTCCAGCCCAGCACTTGGGTCTGCGGAAGAATGGTCTGGGCCTCAGCTGTGATGTTTGGGACTCCAGGGTCCAAGCGTGGTGGGTGTGGGGCCCGCCTGCGTGCTCAGTGGGCCGTTGGAGGAGGCGCAGCGCACATTGCAAAGCTGGATTGTGTGCATGCTGTCGCCAGTGGTGGCTAAGCCAGCCACACAAAACCCCACCTGTTTGCAAAAAGTGGTTTTGCTTTATTTGTGGCATATCCAATTATTCTTGCATTTTCTTAATGAAAATGCTAATTAGGAACAACAGCACAAGTGCTTTGGAGCTGGGGCTCTGGCTTGAGGGGCCAGTCTGAGGTACGCCCCAGTGAGACTTACATCTAGCAAAGCCCCCCACTTGTCCACATGGGAACCACAGGTGTGAAGCCTCCATTGCGTGGGGGGGAGGGGTTTTGTTTTGTTAGGTGGGCCCCTCTGGAGCCTGAGCCCCTACTTTGCCTTGGGATGGCTGCGTGAGCCCATCCTGGTGGGAAAGACCGAGCAAGGGCTGTGTTTGTCGTGTCAAGGGGCCCAACCCCCCCCCCCCCCGGGGCAAACAGGCGGCCTCGCTCGGGGGCACTGAGATGGTGTGGAGGTGAGTGCACAGTGGGCATGGGAGCTGCCCTTAGTGGTGAGTGGTCACTGCAGTTTCCCTGGAGCCAGCTGTGCCAGACCTTTCCACGAAGCCCTCCCTCAGGGCCTCGTCTGAACGGCCCTGCTTCTCCATGACGTCACCCGACTGACAGGCCTCAGTGACAGCCTCCTCTGTGCAGTGTCTGGACCCTGTGGGGTGCCCGTAAGAGCAGCCAGCAACTGCTATGGGATGTCGGCCCCGTATGTGGTCAGGAGGGGTGGGCCCAGGGGCTGGTGAGGGGGAAGATAAGGTGTCACCAAGGCAAACTGCTCCGTCAGTGTCTTGGGGTCCCAGAACTGTCCATCCTGGGGCCCCCTTTGTCCAGCTGTGGGACTGTAGTGCCTCTCTGAGGCTGGGCCATGCCTGGGTCCTCCTCCTTGGGGTCATGCACATCCTTTATTGCAGGTTCCCTGCCATGGAGGGGCCCACCTTTTCTCTGGCTGCACATCCTGCTCTCGGGTGTGATCCAGGTGGGGGTGCTGATGTAAAATATGTACCCCAAAGCAGTCTGTTCTGGAGGCTCGAGTCCCAGTCCCTCGGAGACCGGGTAGCATCCTTGCTTCTGCTTGGGTTCTTGGTGTGGCTGTCAATCAAGCCTGGACTGTACAGCTGTATCCGTCTCCCCACTTAGGAGGCCTGTCAGGGTGGGTTAGGGCCACTCCAGTAAGACAAAGTGCCATTCCCCAAATAAGGCCACCTGTGCCTGGGCAAACAGCACTCTAGTGTCCTCTGGGGGTGGGGGGTATGCAGTCCAATCCCTAGCACATGTTCCTGGAAAGGAAGACTCTACCTCTCCTCCGAGAGCTTCAGGGCCACGTGGCCTGACCAGCGTGTGGTACATGGTGGCCGCACAGCGGCAGCCCCGGGCTTGCCAGGGGTCCTCAGCCCATCGGAGCAGGCCCGCTGAGGGTTACGGGGCGCAGCCCAGGAAAGGGGTGCAGGTGGCTATAGGCTGTCACTCCTTCCCATGTGGGGCCAGATGTCCTTAGCCCATAGGAGCAGGCCCGCTGAGGGTTACGGGGCGCAGCCCGAGAAAGGGGTGTAAGTAGCTCCCATGCTCGTCAAGGAACAAGACGGGGAAGGACAGGGCTATTTTTAATGCTTACGACAAATTCAAGTTTATACAGATGTTTTCCTTGAATTGGTTCCAGATGCTGAAAAGGATCCTCCGGTAAGAGTTAACAAAAAAAGCAGCTTCTTTTTAAGATGTTCAGTGTTTTATGGAAGGTGCTGTACACGGACACAGACAAACCCCTCAACTGTCAGTCTCAGTAATCCTTGCTGGTGGGCTGCACCCTTTACAAGGAAGACGTCATTCACCGCAACCTATCACAGAGACTGTGCCACCGGCAAGGACCTCTCCTAACTGCGGGAGGAGTGGCAATGTCTAGGTGCTCTGCTGACCCCGAGCCCTTGCAGGCGCTGCATGTGTGGGTAAGAACAGAAGTTATAAACACCCGTGATGTCCCCCGGGCTTGGTCACTGTGAAAAAGTTGTGTGTAAGGCAATTGAGGGGGGGGAGGGGCTTAGCTTGCTTAATGTCCAGAGACATCCAGCAAGGTTCCTTAGCCTCATCCACCAGCGGACGGGCCTCTCCGTCCAGGTCTCCAGGAACAGGCTCCTCCTCCTTCACCAGACAAAGGGTTGTACCCTGGGGGGAGAAAGCGACAGTGGGAGTGTCCAGCAGCCCGCAGTGCCCCTGACCACGCTCCCCTCCAGCGGCAGAAACACTCTGAACGGGACCCGTGTCTTTCAACATGTTGGCCTTTGCCATGTAGGGCTGTTGAGGTGGGATCGAGTTTTGAAGAGACCAAAATAGAATGACTGCGCAACCCCATGGTTATTTCTCACCACGTGCTTGCCTCTCCCACACCCCTGGGGGCGGGGCCCATTGGGCAGGCTGGCAAGTCTTAGGGGTTGAAGGTCACCATTGTTTTCCTCTCTAGGTTTACAATCCCCCAAACCTGTGTAGTAGTGTTTCTCAGTCTATAGCCGGGGAGATGAAGGCAGAATCTTAGTGCTTGGAGGGGGTACTTACCACCTCCTCGCAGGGGCTTCCTGTCCGATTTCTGCCTGGGGAGGACTGAGGGCGATGGGCCCGGGCTGTCTTCCTCCTGTTCGAGGGGAGGGCTCGTCAGCACCGCTATGTGACACGTCCCCTCTGCCGAGGGACTGACCCGGCAGCACTCACCTGGGGCCGCCTGGCGTTTCCTCTGTAGCTCTTCCCTTGTTGCATGCTGTCCCACATCTCAATCTTCATTCTCCTCTTTTCTTCCTCAAGCTGAGAGACAGAAGCATGTTGCTCAACAAGTGTGCAGTGTTCAGGACTACATGCTGGAAAGTGTGCTGAAGATGCAATCACATGTTAAGACTTTTGTCCATCCCAGTTAATTTTATTTTGAGTGGTGTTGGACTCAACCTAAGAACTACTGTGGATCTGTACGTAAAGAAAGGAAGTTACAACTGCTGTAAGTATAGGACCCTCCACAGGAGTGGCTGAGCAGAACCCTAAGGAGAGAGAGGAAGCCATGTGGAGAAACTTTGCGGGGAAGGGAGGGTGAAATAAGCTGGCTTAGTGTGCCCCCCCGTACTAACTGAAAAATATATGGATGCACCCTGGCCGGTCTGGCTCAGCGGTTACAGCAGCGGCCCGCGGACCAGAGACGGGGTTCAGTTCCTGCTAAGGGCACGTACCCCGGGTGCAGTTTGTCCCCCGCTGGGGTTGGGGTTGTGTGGGTGGCAGCCAGCCAATGTGTCTCTCTCACATCGATGTTTCTCTCTCTCTCTCCCTCCCAAAAAACAACAAAATGCCCTCAGGTGAGGATTAAATAAAAAATAAAAATTAGCCCTGGCCGGTTTGGCTCAGCGGTTAGAGCGTCAGCCTGCGGTCCTGAGAGACCCGGGTGGCAGCCACTCAATGTGTCCCTTTCACATCGATGTTTCTCTCTCTCTCTCCTGCTCTACCTGAACAAAAAAATAATAAAAAAATAATAAATAAATAAATTAAAAATAAATAAATAAATAAAAATTAAAAAAAAAAATCCAGCAGGTGCCTGGCCAGTGTGGCTCAGTGGTTGCACATGCCCAGGTTGTGGGCCCGATCCCCAGTGGGGGGCATGCAGGAGGCAGCCAATCAATGTTCTCTCTCATCGATGTTTCTATTTCTCTCCCTTTCTCCCTTCTTCTCTAAAATCAATAAATTAAAAAAATAAAAGATCCAACAGTGACTTTGGTTCTGTCCATTTTGGATTGGGGGGGCACTCGTTGCCAGGGATACAGACACCTGTCCCCCATGGTGAACTGTGCCCCTCAGGTTCTTGCAGGGGCTGGCCTTCGGCTGCCCCACCTCTTTTTTACTCCGTGTGCCTGGGTCTTACCACCTGTGGCCTTGTCCCCTCTGTGCCTCTAGTGTCCCAGCCCAGGCTATGACTGGTCTGAGATGAGGCTGTAGTTTCTCTGGTGCACAGGTGGTCACAGGGCGGTGGCCTTGGCTTCCACGTAGCATGTGGAGAGTGCACCTCGTGGGGAACTACATCCTCCACAGGCAGTGATTGATAGTTTCGGGGATAGACGTGTTCTGTGTGGGGCTTTTTTGGGTGGGGAGAAGAGAGTATGTTGAAAGGGATAGTCTGAAAAAGCAATTTTTGAGAGTTGGTTTTTGTGTGGCCCCTATAGAATCTCTGCACTTGGATTGGTGTGTGATACAAAGTCAAAAAGGGGGGTAATGTGAGTGTTTCTCCGACCATCCATCTGCGCTGTGAACCCCTAACCGAGTTCAGAGGAGAGGGGAAGGCCCCTGGCACTCTGGTGGCATAACGAAAGGAAGGAGAGTAGTGTGGAAGGGTGCCTTTACAGGGTTGACCAGATGACCCATCATCTCCCCCGTGTAAGCAGCCGTGGCTGCTGTGGTCCCGAGGTGCAGAGCACGGGGCCCTGCAGCAAATGGGCACCAGCTGGACTCCCAGCCAGGGCCCATGCCCCGGTAGGTTGTGGGCTCCATCCCCAGCAGGGAAACCCCCGGTTCCTTTCTCTCTAAATCAATAAAATAAAAGGCAAAACACCAGGAAATGCGAACAGAAAGCTATTTTAGGCAAAAATCCAGCAATATATTAAAAATACACATAATCAAAGGGGATTTATTAATATCTGAGAAAGCATCTGCCAAAATCCAGCCCCCATTTACCACAGCGGAGAGGGAACGTATCTCCTGAGTAATAAATGGTGTAAGTGACCAACCCCAACCTTCAGAGAGCAGGGGTCCCAAGAAGCCCCTGGACTAAAGGACGATAATAATTAGGTAAAATACAATTCTTGTCAAACAGCAAGAATGGCTACAAAAATTTAGACTTGCAGTGAGTCACTTTTGCAGTTTTGTTTTTTTAATTTTTTCCCCTTTATTGATTTTAGAGAGAGAGGAAGGGAGAGGGACAGAAGAAACACCGATGACAGAGAACATCGACTGGCCGCCTCCTGCATGCCCCACACTGGGAATCAGGCCCACAACCTGGGCATGTGTCCTGACCGGGAATCGAACCAGCGACCTCTTGGTGCCTGGGTCAGCTCAACCACTGAGCCACACCGGCTGACCCACTTCTGCAGTTTTCGCACTAAATCAGGCTCTGTCCAGGACGGCCAAGGGCCCATACCACTGGCCTGTGCCTACTGTGGGGCTCTGGAGGGCTCGCTGGGGGAATAAGCCCTGTTTCTGCAATTTCTTATGAGGGGGAAAATACTCTTAGAAGAAATGTCTCTTACGAGAGGGTAAAAAACAAAAGCTGCAGAGCCGGCGAGTGTGGATAGTAGTGGGGTCTCGTTCTGGGCTCCAGCCAAGCAGGGGAGACCAGCTGCATAACCGATACCCAACTCTGCTTCCTCGGGGGGAGAAAGGGGCCCGGAGACATCTGGGCTGAAGCTGAAAGGCAGGGTGGGCTCATCCCACGAGCTTCGATCAAAATCTTTCAAAACTGCATCTCGACCCTGGCTGAGCCCATCCCTGGCTCTCCTACAGCCCACAGCCAGCCGGTCATGGAGACACAGCTGGAAACAGAACGGGTACGTGTCTGGTGGCATGGCCCCTGCCACACACATTTCGTCGGGTGAGACGGTGCTGCGAGAGAGCCACGAAGAGGCAGAAACATCGAGAAAAGGCATTTCTGTACGTTTTTCCCCACTAAGCCGCAAACCGCAATTCCTGGGGGCCACACATACATACAAAGGACTCATACCTGTCTGAGCTTCTCCTTATGCCTTTCAACTTGTGCATTTAACTCCTCCTGCATCTTCAAGCGAGCGGCTGCCAAAGCCTCTTGTCGTTTCACAACAGCATCAGGTTCTATGGTGGAAGAAGAAAACGGAGTAAAGCACCCTTGTATAAAACCGAAACTCTCGACAGTCCAGATGATTAGAAATACATAAAAGGGCAGAGGCCAGTTAATGCAAACACATGTTTGTACATGGATAAGTCTACCCCGCTACAAATATTTGGCTGTTTATAGGGGCAGGGGATTGTCCCATGGCCACAGTTCTTAGCTAGTTAAATATCCAGAGCAGCAGCAATCTCAGATAGAAATGCAGAATCCTGGGCTCCCTCAGCAACTCCCATTCACAAAGTCTGGGTCCGGTCCCATGGCTGAAATGGAAGTGCTCTGATGGGCACCTCAAGAATTCACTCCATGACCCACATACCTCCCGAGCCCTGTCTCTAGGTTGACCAGAATTACAGAAGACAGCCAAGAAAAGAAGTTTTCTGATCGGGAGCCATTACTCGGTCCAGATCTGTACCAGAAAGTGGTCAAGATCCTTAGGTGTTTTACCCTTGTTTCCCTCCAGCTAACTTTGTCAGAAACCAGTGCCCCAGTTCTACCTATATTTTTATCTGGTCTACAGCAAAATCATACAAATACACCATGAACTTCTCTATCTCTTTGTCTATTCAGACAGACCACCCTGTTATGGATCACTGAGGGGGGTACTAATTATTATAGGGATAATCAGCCCTGGCCAGTTTGACTCAGCGGTTAGAGCGTCGACCTGCGGTCCAGAGAGACCCGGGTTCAGTTCCCGCTAAGGGCATGTACCTCGGTTGCAGTTTGTCCCCGGCCCTGCTTGGGTTGTGCGGGAGGCAGTCACTCGATGTGTCCCTTTCACATCGATGTTTCTGTTTTTCTCTCTCCCTCCCTCCCTCCCTCCCTCCCTCTCACTCTATCTAAACAAAAAATGGAAAAAATGTCCTCAGGTGAGGATAAAAAAAATATATATATATATAAAGGAATAATTAGAATTCAGACATTCACATCAGTACCACTCAAAGGATACATGATTATCATTACCTACAGATAGTATGGGAACAAGGACACTTAAATAAATCCACCTAAAATGGGCCAAAATGTCATGATCAAATAGCACAAGTGTGTGTCAGTGTGTGGGTGGTGGTGGTGGTAGAGACAAGTGAAACTTGAAAACAGAAAACAAACTAAAACTATACTCCCACTTCAAAGAAGTGTGAATTGTAGGAACACTTCTAACAGTTGGGTCCTTCTTGGAATCAAAATCAATCAAGTGTAGTTTTTTAACCAACTTTTTTGCACAGAATTGAAGTCACTTCCTGTGGTGTTTCCTAAAAAGCAATACTCTTTTTTTTTTTTTAAATCCTCACCGGAGGACATTTTTCCATTTTTTGTTCAGATTGCCCTGGCCGGTTTGGCTCAGCGGTTAGAGCGTCGGCCTGAGGTACAGACAGATAGAGTGGGAGGGGGAGAGAGGGAGAGAGAGAGAGAAACATCGACATGAAAAGGACACACGGAGTGGCCACCACCAAGACCCAACCACGGCCAGGGACAAACTGCAACTGAGGCTTGTGCCCTTAGTGGGAACCGAACCCGCAGGCCGACGCTCTAACCGCTGAGCCAAACTGGCCAGGGCAAAGCAATCCTCTTTGATGTGACCTGCCAGCTCTTCACTCCTGGAGGTGGCAGGAGCAGGTGACAGAGCTGTTACTGAACACACCGTCATCTGCTGCAGGATCCTGCATCTTATGCAACATTTACACCTGTGCTTTGTAGTTTGCTGTTGTGTTGCGACATGTGCTTTCCTCCCCAATTTCAGTAACCATGGTGACTCAGGTGCATGGCAACTGCGCTGTTCTTCTCAAAGCAATTCACGTGTGTTTTGCATAAAACTAGCTTCTGACTAGGGAAGAGACTACCATTTCAGAGGGAATGATTTTTAAAACAACCACGTGTCACTTGAAATCAGGGCTGCTGGGTAAGTCGTGATGCATCCGAATACAGTGAATGGGAGTCACTCAGTTAACAGGCAGACCCGGGAGGGCAGTTTTCGGTGTAACCCGCCCTGTAAATGTCCAGCAGACTGTCCACACCCATCAGAATCTCCGAAGAAAGAAAATCTGTTGCACATTCACCGAAATCCATTTCAGAAGCATGAAACGCCCCCACCAGCCCCGCGCACGCGGACCGGACCCCGCCCTCCCGCTCCCCCAGCCCGGCCGGGCTCAGGGACTCACCCGCGGCGGCGGCGGCGGCGGCGTCCAGCTGGCTCCGCCGCGAGGCCCGCAGGCGGGCGGACAGCTTCTGGAAGACCGCGTACAGGAGGGCGCCGCACAGGACGATGTACCAGCCGTAGGTGGCCAGCAGGGAGCCCACTGGGAGGAGAAAGCAGCGGGCGAGAAGCTAAAGGCGACGGCACCGGCAGGACGAGGAGCGTGTCCGACTCGGGGCGGGGGCGAGCGCCTCCGGACGCCCGGACCCAGGCACGCGGGGAGCGGTGGCCGCGGGGCGGGTGCGCGCCGGGCGCTCGGAGCGCGGGTGGGCGGGGCGGGGCGCAGCGAGGCCTGGAGGCGCCTGCAGGGGCCCCGGGACCCCAGTAACCGCAGCCCCACAACTTGCTTCGCCAAAGAATGAAAAGGAAAAACAGCCCAAAGGCGCCGCCTTGGGAAGCGCGGCTCCAGGCGGGCGAGGCCCCCGCAGGCCCGGCCCGGCCCGGCGCGCCGCGGAGACGCACCGAACATGGCGCGCAGCCCTCTGCCCCGCGGCCCGCGGAGACTCACCCGTGACGTGGAGGAAGCGCAGCCCCTCGGACTCCAGCGCCGGACGCGCGGACAGCGGCTCCCCGTCCTGCTCCATGGCGGCCCGAGCGCCGCGTCAGCCCCGACCTTCGGCTTCCGGCCCGCCCCTACGTACACACGCGCGGGGCGTGGCTTCGCCTGCCTGGCCAATCACGGCGCGCCTCTGCGAAAAGGGCGGAGCAGAGCCCCGGGGCTGGCTGGACTTTGGGGAGCAGAGCGTCCTCCTCGGTGGCCTGAGTTTGGCCGCCTCGCCGACCTCCCTGTGGACTAACCGAGCGTTTGCGTTTGTGCCGAAGCAGGCAGCCCGCTCCCGCTGCCGCTGTGACCTTTTAGGCTAAGAAAGTCCCGCTGACCCCGTTTCTCCTCCCCTCTCGGGTCAAACCTCTCGGGCAGAATGAGCACAACACACGCCCCGTCTCACTGTGTCACAGACGCTCACAGCCATCGGCCCTTTCCTCTGGCTGCAGTGCCCTCCTCCACCCACCTCCCCTCCTCGCCTACTTCCCTGTTTGAAACTGGACTTGAGTTTGGAGAAGGTTTTGAAGTGCACATGCCCGGTTGTCTCAAAGACAATTAGAATTATAATTTTTAGAGAAAAACCATAGGCCCATGTGATACAAAACCTAGTTTTAATACCTGGCCTAACTGCTGTGTCACCCTGTCCCAGAAACAGTGAGTCTGGAACGTTCTGATCAGGCACCAGGAAGGTGACTGTCAATCCCTCTGCATCCCCACCAGAGCAAGAGGCAATCTGCATGATGGGACCCTCGCCATTTAGATGCCCCCATCTGAAAAGAATTCTTTCCTGTCTTTAAAAAAGTTGTAAGTTTATTTAAGCCTGGCTGACATATACCAGGGAGCAAGATCTCAAGCGCTTCTCCCACCTTTTAAAAATCTATTTTTAGCCCTGGCCGGTTTGGCTCAACGGTTAGAGCGTCGGCCTGGGGTCCTGAGAGACCTGGTTTCGGTTCCCGCTAAGGGCACGTACCTCGGTTGCAGTTTGTCCCCGGCCCTGGTTGGGTTGTGCGGGTGGCAGCCACTTGATGTGCTCCTTTCACATCGATGTTTCTCTCTCTCTCTGTTCCTCTCTCTCCCTCCCACTCTACCTGAACAAAAAATGGAAAAATGTCCTCGGGTGAGGATAAAAAAAAAAAAATAAAAATCTATTTTTATTGATTTCCGCGAGATGAAAACATCCATAAGAACACGCCCCCTACTGGGGGTGGAGCCTACAACCAGGGTATGTTCTCTGACCCAGATTCCAACTGGGTGCAGGCTCCATCCACTGAGCACACAGGCTGGGCTCCTCTTTTCTTTTCCAGTATCCGCCTTTCTTCCTCTAAAACCTTCCATTCTTTACAATCCCTCTGGGTGCTCTTGAAGTTGCTAGATTAGATGCTGCTTTATTCATGACTCAATTAATAAAGAGAATTACATCTTCATTTTTACTTGGTTGAATTAAAAAGTTTTTATTGATTTCAAAAGACAAAGGGAGCCCTGGCCAGTTTGGCTCAGCGGTTAGAGCGTCGGCCTGTGGTCCAGAGAGGCCCGGGTTCAGTTCCCGCTAAGGGCACGTACCTTGGTTGCAGTTTGTCCCCGGCCCTGGTTGGGTCTTGTGGAAGGCAGCCACTCAATGTGTGTCCCTTTCACGTCAATGTTTCTCTCTCTCTCCCACTCTGTCTGAACAAAAAATGGAAAAATGTCCTCAGGTGAGGATAAAAAAAGAAGACAAAGGCAAAGAGGGAGATATAGACATCAATCAACTGCCTCCTGCACAACCCCTACTGGGGTGTCAAGCCCAAAACCCAGGCATGTGCCCTAGCCCAGGAATCGAACTGGTGACCTCTTGATACGTGGGAAGATGCTCAATCCACTGAGCCACACCGGCTTGGCTGGCTTGTCTTTTTAATACCTTCTTGATGTTTTCCTCTAATTGCTTTGAGCTGCTCTCATTTGTTCTGGAATCTTGAAGAACTTAGTGGCTAAAGTGAATGAATTCTTAGGATTATGGTTGCAATCCCTGGTCTGGGAGCAACTTTAAATATACCTGTCTTGAATCATAGGTCATAGGTCATATAACAGAGTTGCATCTAATTAATTATTCACATCACATAAGTTTTCATCTGATCAGTTAATTCTTGGAACCAAAAATCCTTATATACAAGCTTAGGCATCTGATTTAAAAAAAAAATTTTTTTTAAGATGCTTTTATTGATTTTTTTACAGGGAGACAGAAACATCAATGTGAGAGAAATATCGACGGGCTGCCTCTTGCACGCCCCCTACTGGGGATCGAGCCTGCAACCCCAGCAGGTGCCCTGACCCGTTGAACTGGGACCTCTCAGTCCATGGGGAGATGCTTAACCCACTGAGCTACACTGGCCAGGTCAGGCACCTGATTATTTTGTGAAAAGTTGTTTGGGAGCAAAATAGGTAGGTACTTACTATTATTTTTGTAAATCAATCGTAATTATACCTATTTTTGTCAGATAGCATTAGCAAAAAAACATAGTTTTTGGAGCGCCACACATTTTAGTAATTATGTGTGCAACAAGACAATAAAAAAGGTTAACAATCACTGGTTTCAATTAATGCTTGTAAGCAGTTTTATATAGTAACTTAATCTTTAAGGTTGCTGGTAACTTGGCTTAGCTGAGAAGACAGATTTTGCCCTGACTGGGTATATCAGTGGTTAGTGTTGTCCCGCTGTGCCAAGGTTGTGGGTTCCATCTCCTGTCAGGGCACATATGAGAAGCAACCCATGAATGCATACATGAGTAGGACAATGAATCAATGTTTCTTTAAAAAATCCATTTAAAGATTATTAAAAAAAAAAACAGAGGCCCAGCTGGTGTGGTTCACTGGTTGAACATTGACCCATACACCAAGAGGTCACCGGTTCGATTCCTGGTCAGGGCACATGCCCAGGTTGTGGGCCCGATCCCCAGTGGGGGGCATGCAGGAGGCGACCAAACGATGTTCTCTCTTATTGATGTTTCTCTCCCTCTCTCTCCTTTCCTTTCTCTCTAAGATCAATACAGGAAAAATATTAAAAACAAACACAAAACGAGTCTCTGGCGAAGACGTGAAAGCTGAGAACGTGGCAGGGGTCACCACTCCAGAGCCCGTGGTGGTTTGGGAATGAAGGTACAGCAAGTCCTCACTTGAGGCCGATGGGATCCGGGAAACTGCGAGATGAGTGAAACATGGCATAATGGAACCGGTTTTACCGTAGGCTGATTGATATAAACAAGAGTTCAGTTCTTATGGCCCATTTCTGGTCACATAAACATTCCGAAACTTTAAAATAAAGACCCAAAACACTTCTAATACTAAACATTGAAGCAAATGTGAGCTGCATGTACATTTGTCTTGCTCACCCGCCCTGCCCTGTAATTTCTCTGTAAGGATGATGATGATGAAATATATTTTTTCTGCCACTTACAGAAAAACAGAGGCCTGGCCGGTTGTGGCTCAGTGGTTGAGCGTCGACCCACGCACCAAGAGGTCGCTGGTTCGATTCCCAGTCAGAGCACATGCCTAGGTTGTGGGCGCAATCTCCAGTGGGGGGCATGCAGGAAGCGGCCAATGTTCTCTCATTGATTTTTCTCTCTCTCCCTTCCTCTCTCTGTAAAAATCAAAAGGAAAAAAGAAAAAGAAAAATAGTGAACACATCCTGTTATTCAGGATTTTGTAACAGAAAATAGAAACCAGCACAACTCATGAAAGTAAAACACACTTTAAACACATGCAACAACGTACCTTTGTACACCATATTGCAAGCTAGTGTGTGTACACAGGACACGGCAGATGGCTCACTCAGCTGACGTTTACTGGAGTTCATGTCCCTAGACCAAGTGGATGGCCTCTTGTTTCGGCTCAGAGCTTACTGCTGTTCTTATGGTCCGAGGCTTTCCAGCCAGGCTGTTACCTTTGTCTCTTTAACCAGGGTGTGTCAGCTTGCCTAGAACACTCATTACAGCCAACAGTTGCTCAATACAGCCACTCAGGTGGTGTAAGATCAGAACCAAGGTCGTGCCAGAACTCCATCACTCCCCAGTGGAGATTAAGTGACTGGCCCACTCATCCCTCTCTATACCCCGTCCTCGCCGTAGCCTCAAGGTGGGAGGAGCGGATTCCCCAGCCTTGGACTGGGGACGTGGCTGGCAGGCAGTGTGTCCATAGCGAGTGTAGGCCTAAGAAGCCTCTCGTTTCCTTCCTGTGCCTTTGCCCGGTTAACCCACTTGTCCAAGAATGAAGTACATAAAACCCAGCCTCTAGTTAACCCAGAGACCTGCAGGGAAAAGCAGAACGAGCAGTGAGTAAACAATGGTTGCGGCTGAAAACCCAACATAGGGTGGTCCTGAGGCACTCACCTCCACCACCGAGCTTTGCAGTGGCCCAAATTGGCCACGAGAGGGTGAGCAATGCAGTCATGCATCCGGGAGCTGGGAGGAAGCTGACCTTGGCCTGCCCAGAGAGCCGTGACCCTCTCTGCTGTCCTCCACATTGGAACAGACCGCTCTGGGTGAACTCCAGCAGCTGACAAGCAAACTAGTAACTCATCCGCATGCTTATGGAGTAAACCCTCCGAGGGCTGCTGATCCCTGCAGGGCCCTGAAGACCGGCTGCCTGTAATGAAGCTCCTGCTATTCTCTACAGAAAAACCAGTTAGCAGACTCTTCCTGACAATCACTGGAAGCACACAGATAATCTTGTTTTATTCAGGATTTAGAAATCTAAACATTTCACAGAGGACCAGAAGCCAACTTAGAGATGGTGTCCTCCTGCATGGCCAGCTTAAAAGTTCAGACACCTGTACACACAGCACAGTAACTTGTGACCTAGCAGCACAGTGAGTGTCCTTTATTGATCTATTTGTAAAAAAACAGGCATTTCAATTTCAAAATGTACATGAAACGATGACCAGCAGCAGTGTGGAGCATCCCAGCAACGCTTATCCGCTCCTCTTCACTGACCCGACGAGGCAGGACTCCCCAGCGGCATGTTGCATGCACGGCCTGAGGCCGCTCAGGACCCGTTTGCAATTGTGTCCTCTTCCATCTCCTCGTCACCGTCGTTGGCGGGGCCTGAAGACAAACACAACGGCAGTCACGCGGATCTCAGAGGATGTGCTTGCTCAGGATGCTCTGTGAGGCTCCTGGGCGCCTGGCCCTGCACAAGCGGAGAGCCCAGGGGCAGCCGCTGCCCTGCAGGAGCTGCTAGTCCAGAGACCATCGTCCCAGGCAGGTACTGAAAGGGACAGTCAGCCCCCACAGGAAAAGATGGCACAGGTGTTTTCTGAAAGTCAAGCTCAACCCCCACCCTAGCACCTGGCCTGCAGTGCCCTGCTTGACCTGTGCACATGGGCGCTTACTCATCCGCCACCTTCTCCCTGTGCCTGGGGCTTGGCTCGCAAGGTCTCCTTCCATTCAGTGTGCAAGCTCCCTTTTATCACTTCTTTTTTCCTTACTTTTTTATTTTCAGAGAGAGAGAAATATTGATCTGTTGGCTCCCGCACACGCCCCAACCAGGGATCAAAGCCACAACCTTGTGGTGTACAGGATGATGCTGTAACCAAGTGAGCCACCTGGCCAGGGCTGTCCCATGGGTCTGTCTGTGCTGTTCTCTCCCAAGAATGCTGCTCTGCCTTTGTATTGCCCAGTGGTTCTCAAATACTTCAGTTTTAGGATCCACGGACCTTCTGTTAGCGTGAAAACTACATTTATTTATCAATATTGTATTAGAATTTACGGGGGATATTTTAAAAAACAGTAATTCATCCTGGTCAGGTAGCTCAGTCGGTTAGAGCACCATCTGATAACCCAAGGTTGCGGGTTTGATCCCAGCCAGGCCACGTACAAGCAACAAATGAATCATAAGTGGAACAACAAATCAATGCTTCCCTCCCTCTATAATAAAATAATATTCATTAGATCAAGAAATCCACTTCATGCTGTTTCTATTTTTATAAAAAACAAATGGCCCTGGCCAGTTTGGCTCAGTGGTTGGAGCGTTGGCCCGTGGAACAGAGAGTCCCGGGTTTGGTTGTTGCTGGGGGCACGTACCTCAGTTGCGGTTTGTCCCCGGCCCCGGTTGGGGTCATGTGGGTGGCAACCACTCGATGTGTCTCTCTCACGTCAATGTTTCTCTCTTTCTCTTCCTCTCTCCCTCCCACTTTGTCTGAAGACAAATGTAAAAATGTCCTCGGGTGAAGATAAAAAGCAAAAAAAACCCAAATGATATTTTCTAAAACACAAATAGTGAGAAAGTTGGCCTTTTTAAATTTTTTTTTTATCCTCACCCGAGGACATTTTTCCTTTTGTTCAAATAGAGTGAGAGGGAGATAGAGACAGAGAAACATCGACGTGAAAGGGACATATCGAGTGGCCGCCACCCGCATGACCCAACCAGGGCCGGGGACAAACTGCAACCGAGGTACATGCCCTTAGTGGGAACCAAACCCGGGTCTCTCCGGACCGCAGGCCAACACTCTAACCGCTGAACCAAACCGGCCAGGGCAAGTTGGCCTTTTTTATGTCTGCCTATCTGTGCAATAAGACAAACAGCAGTCACTCTTGTCCTGCCTTCACCATTTCACCTGTGGCAGTAGTTTTCATTGAAGGGTGTGCACAAAATCAGCCACACAGACATGTCATTAGAGAAGGGAGCAATATTTCACTAGCCTTTACAACAGTTGTGGATATTCCTTTTTGATATTACTGCAAAACTTGAACTCTGGCTGGTGCAGCTCGGCTGGCTGAGCATTGTCCCATGCACCTAGAGGTCACACTTTGATTCCCAGTCAGGGCACACGCCCAGGTTTTGGCTAGATCCCCAGTAGGGGACATGCAGGACACAGCCGATTGATGTTGGTTTCTCTCTCCCTCTTAAAAAAAACAATTAAAAAAAATACACACACACACACATAAAAGGATTAAGTGGGGACTAAGAAATGCACCCCAGGACAGAGCTGGTAAGGCTGAGGTCTGAGCCTCCAGCTGTTTGACTCCCAAACCCACGTTGCAAACTACTAAGCCTGTGTATACACGGGTGGAGTCCACATGGTTTCCTCTAGTGTTCAGTCTCACTCCATGGCTATGAAATGATGTTTGTGTCAACTTAACACAGAAAAACCCCAGGGTCCTAGAACATAATATTCTACGTCAATCACTTATCTTCAGAGAACATTTAAAGGGATTTCGTGAAGGCGGAGGCCAACGGATGTTCTCTCTCATTGATATTTCTCTCTTCCTCTCCCTTTCTCTCTCTGTAAAAATCAATAAAGAGCCCTGGCAGGTCTGACTCAGGAGCTAGAGCATCAGCCTGTGGATCACAGAGTCCCTGGTTCGGTTCCCACTTAGGGCATGTACCTCGGTTGTGATTTGCCTTTGCCCTGGTTAGGGTCGTGTGAATGGCAGTCACTCTATGTGTCTCTCTCACATCAATGTTTCTCTCTCTTCCCCCATCTCTCTCTCCTGCTCTATCTGAAGATAAATGCATGTCTTCGGGTGAGGATAAAAATTAAAAAAAAAAAAAAATCAATAAAGAAAAAAAATTTTTAATTATTTTTTTCTTTATTGATTTTTAGGGAGAGGGAGAGACAGAAACATGGATGATAGAGAACATCAACTGGCTGCCTCAAGCATGCCCCTCACTGGGGACTGGGCCCACAATCTGGGCATGTGCCCTGACCAGGAATCAAACCAGCGACCTCTTGGTGCATGGGTTGGTGCTCAACCACTGAGCCACACCAGCTGGGCAAGAAAACTGGGTTTCGTGAACATCAGATGAGAGGGTAACGAGGCACCATCCTGGCATTCTTGGGCCACAGCATCAGAACTACTTGGGAATCCCTTGGGCGGAACGTGAGTCTGGGAGGAGCCAGGACACGCTGTCCTCACCTGCTCTGCGCTCTCTGCCAGGAATCTGGCCCGACTGCAGCAAGCCCTTCAGCCGCTCCACCTCCGCCAGCGTCGATGCGTTCGCTATTGCGTTCTGGGGACACACAGTGGAGTTGGACAATCACTTTCACCCAAGTCTATCAATTACCCAGACAACACCTATAGAAATTCCCAGCAACTTTTTGAATTGGAACATTAACTAGTTCTGTGTTGGGGGAAGAATTTTATGGGCACATTGAAATCGACCCAAAAACCAAATCATTAATTTCCAGAACTGGTAAAGAAACACAGACCCTCTTACAGGAGAGAAAAGAATCACTGCATATGCCCTACAAGGTCAGCACTGGGACCAGCTACTGGATAATCTAGGAGGCACTTTTATACAATGAGGACTTCTCACTGACCGCCCAGCAGGATCTTTCAGACAGGAAACCTTTGCAAGTAAAAACTAGGGCAGACGCCGACATGGCACAAAGGTACTAACTGTCCAAACACACGTCCTGGGAAAAAGAGAAAGACCAGAGCTGCCTCCACGTCAAACGGCTCATGTAACTCATCCAAGTCAAAGTCTGGTCAAGTAAGAACGTCCAGTTAGTTTTTCATTATACAAACACAGAGCTGGGTCCACACCCGTGAGGCGAACACCCGCACTATCCAGAACTGGACTGTCAGGTAAGTTCCTGTCCTGGCCCTGGCAGCCCTCGAGGCTGAGCTCTAACACATCGTTTACCTTGATCGCCTCTACGTCCCCTGGTGACGGGCCTTTCTTCTTGTCAGCCGGCAAACCAGCACCTGGACTGAAACTGGAGGGGCGGGGACAATAGAACTGTCAAATCCAGACCACCAGAAATTGCTTCTCTTTTACTTTCAAAAGCTTTTGAAAGTAATTCAACCAGTGTAGTATCTTATCTTTGTTAACAAACTGATACAAGAAACTGTCTCCTTCAGAAACACTACTCAGGTCATCTTCCCAGAGAAAGTAGGACATTCATAAAGTGACAGCAAGGCTGAACACTGAAAGGTTTGCTCTGCTACCTGGTAGAAATCTCAGGACACAGGACCACTGATGGCCAGGCTAACATCGCGCCAATTTAATGCTGGGTCAGTCCCAGTGTTGTGTTTACTTCTGCAGGAGGCAAACTGCCAGACAGAGTGTTTCTGAAGGGGAAGTAGAGTGAAGTCGGATGTCCGTATCTTACGTTTTGCTTCTCCTGGCAATATCCTTTGCAAGCTGTGCACCCCGTTTGCCCTTGAACATTTTCTCTGCTTCCTGACGCTCCTACAGCAACACCACACACAGAGTTAATGGAAATAGGAATAGCACATGCATTTAGATGCATTCCTCAGAAAACACGGAAGGAAACTCTTCTGAAACAATCGGGCTGGTAAAAATTCCAGAGCCAATTTCATGTTCAAAGGAGACACTGCGGTCTTGCCTTCTCTGGTGAGCTCACTGAAGAAACACCCCTTGTCCTCGTTTCGAGGTGGGGCTCCCAAAGAACTGAGGTATAAAAGTAGGAAAAAACAAACAAAACCCTCCCAATAAAGGGAAATCATTCTAATAACGAAAGCTGCTGAAAACTGGACACTGTGGAGTTCCCCAGTGGAACAGTCTCTTGTTGACAGTGCTCACGGGGCTCTAGACTGTGCTACCCGACACGACCAACACCACCTCAGACAGCTTCAGCTCGGAGCCCTGACACACCCTCTGCTGTGGAAAAATATCTGACTTAACATTTTCTTTCCCACGTTATTGCAAACCAATAGTAAAACTCATTAAGCAATATTAAAAATCAGTTACAAATATCAAAATCATGAACTGATAATGACTTACAATCAACAGAATACGACTTACTTTTAGTTTCACCTTCTGGAAATCCAGTACTCTGACTTGGGGGACTTTGTAAATTACATACAGTCTGTAATGCTTCTTGTTTGTTACAGGGTTTCTGAGAATACTACAAGAAAGGGAACAATGTCATGTCTTGTTCACAGCGCAGCATTCAAGAGGTTTAAAGAAAAGTCCACTCATCTTCACATTTAACTTCAATGTCTAACAACTTAAGTAGCATCAGGGAAATTTTAACAGAGAACTGGGCCCAAAGGAAATGTTGCAACATATGTATTTTTTATATTGACTTTAAAGAAGTGAGAAAAACACTGATTGGCCGCCTCCTGCACCCCCGTACTGGTGATCGAACCCACAGCCTGGACATGTGCCCTAAGCGGGAATCTAACTGGCAGCCTCTTGGCGTACGGGACGACACTCAACCAACTGAGCCACCTGGGCCAGGGATGCGATATTTGCTTTTAAAGTTCTTTTTTTTTTTTTAAGTGGTATAAGACAAATTTAAAATATTTATTTATAAATTTTAACATAAATCTTTAAAAATAATTTTTAAACCTCTTTCATTTCCAGTTTACGGTCACTGTTAGCTTACTTTACTTTCAGGCATCGATGCACAGCAAAGTAAAAGATGCTTTTTCCTGACTTGGTGTGTTAAGGTCAAGGCTGGTAAAGATGTTATTTTAAAGGCCCTCATTGTTACCACCGCAGAGAATTTCCATACCTTAGGTAAGTCAGGGACTTGAGAGATGCCAAAGGGTCCAGATCACCCTGTAAAAGAACAGCCTCAGGTAAGAGCACAGATACCACGCCCTATTTTGATACTTTGAAAGGGTGAGGCCTCTGGAGCAAGGACTCATCTTGTCTTTTATTTTTCTTACTGCTCTGGCACCTAATAAATGTCTATTGAATGAATACACTTGAGCTTCTCAAACTTAAAAATCTCGGCCATAACAGCTTCTATTGCAATGGCGGTGACGTCTTGATGGTTGTTTAAAGATAAAGCCCTGGCCGGTCTGGCTCAGCGGTTAGAGGTTTGATTCTGGCCAAAGGCATGTGCCTGGTTATGGTTTGTCCTGGCCCTGGTCAGGGTCGTTCAGGAGGCAGCCAGTCGATGTGTCCCTCTCACATCGATTTTTCTCTCTCTCCCCATCCCAGTCTATCTGAGGAAAAGTGGAAAAGTATCCTCGGGTGAGGATTAAAACAAAACAAAACAAACAAAAATATATAATTAACATATAACAGGTAGAGGGGTGTGGAATGTTTAAGGACCCTGTATTGTTTTTGAGGGCCCTGGTTTACTGCGGTTAATCAGTTCCAGACTCTACCGCAATAAACGAATTTCCGCGAGGTAGGATTCTTTACTGGTTAACTTTAAACTCTGATAAGTACCCACCAACAACAGCGTGGAGATGGCCAGTGGGAAAGGGGGTTGGGGGCTGGGTAGAGATGGGCAAAGGGGGAAAAATGGGGACATCTGTAATAGTGTCAAATAAAAATACAGAAAAATATTTTAATTTTAATAATGTTATTTAACCTATCATCCAAAATATTATCATTTCAACATCACTATAGCACAATCATTGATAGCTGACACTCTTTTTTCTTTTTTTGGTAGTAAAGTCTTTGAAAGCTGGTGTGTATTTCAGTTTTAGTACATCTCAACTCACAGCAGCCACCTGGGGCTAGTGGCCACCATACTGGACACTACAATTTTATTATTATTGTTTTTTAAATGTTTTTTATTGTTTTTTTTAAAGAGACAGGAAGGGAGAGAGAGATAGAAACATGGATGTGAGAGAGAAACATTGATCCGCTGCCTCCTGCACACCCCCTACTGGGGATCACGCCCACAACCCGGGCATGTGCCTTGAAGGGGAATCGAACCAGGACCTCTCAGTCCATGGGACAGTACTCAGTCCACTGAGCCACACTGGCCGGGTTGGACACTGCAATTTTAAAAGACAACACAGACACCTGTCTCCATGACCCTGGGCAGAGGAAGCTTAACAGGGTATCCAAAACCCTAGCAACAGTAACAAAGTGATAAACTGGACTACACAGAAATCAGGAGACACCCCAAGAGAGTCAAAAGGCAACCTTCAGAGTGGGAAAACATATTTTCAAAATATATGTATAACTGAAAAAGGCCCAGATCTTGAGTTAAAAAAAGACAAAGACAAAGGATGATGAGATAATTTTCTGGATTTTCCAAGTTTTCTGTAAGAATGTTGTACCTCCAACTCCTCCCTCCAAATACATTTCCCCCATTCAACTTACCAGCTCCACAAGACTGTTGTTGGTGAGAACGAGTTCTGTTAGACAGGGCAGAGCCTGGTCCAGCCCTTCCCCTATACGGCTACAATCAAGACAGACAGACTCTTAGTAAAAGTGATAATTATGGAAGCTGAGAGTTTTACTTAAGTCCTTGCCCAGATATCAGACTCGCAAGTGGCAAGAAGAAGTGACATGACTTTAGAACCCAAGCTTCCTGAAGAGTGTCGGGGCTTGTCTCGCTACCACACTGTTTAATGAAACCTAAAAAAAGGAGAAACTCCCGTGGAGAACAAACCACCTGCCTCTCATCATGGCTTCTGTGCGGCTGGCACAGAAACACAAGTGGTTCTGTGTTCCCAGCTCAGGTACAAGACAGACAGGAACAGTGCCACAAGGGAATGGTTAACGCAGGAGAAAAGTGCCTTTTCCAAATGTGTGCAAAGCAGCACGGTTTTCCTTTAAACCAGAAGCTTACTGTAAATATATAAATGCACCAGATTTCTGCATAGATGCAAATAAATCCAGACCAGAGATTTTCAACTGGTGTGCCGCCAGAGTTACTAAAACCTGCAATACCTGACTACTTAATCAGGGACACCATCTCTTTTCCCTTAGACTGTCAAATAAAAAAATGACAATAGCCACAATAGCCGTCTGGTGTGAATGAACCAAAATTATACCTATATTTTTTTGGTCAGAATTTTAATTAGTTCGTGTGCGCCATGAGATGAAGAGGGTTGAAAACGGCTGGTGTAGACCAAACCCGAGTTAAGCTCTGATCTGTATGAGCAAAGTGTAGCTCGTTTCTCATTTAAGAAGAAACACATAGTGTAACTGCAGCAGGTACTACAACTCCAGGGACCCAAAACATTTATTTACACTAGGAAAAAAGCCAAACACTTTCCACTCGCAGACACTTACCATATTCTGTTGTTGTTCACCAATAATGTTTTCAGTCTTCTCAACAAAGGAAAACCATCCAGTTTCCTGATTTCATTGTCAGAAAAATCAATAGCATCAAACTGGTCTAAGGTCGCACCCAAATTTTCTATGACAGGAATTTTATATCCTGTGAAACAGAGGGGAAAAACCCCCACAAATGTTAATAGAGTTAAAAGGCATATTAAAACATCAGCAGTATTTCCTGGTAATCTGACTCAAAGCTAGCATGCACTCAAAGTGTTTGCCCAGCACCTATGCTGAATGCTACCTACCAGTCACTGACATACAATAAGGAGCAGGAGAGGCTCAGGCTGGCTGCCATGAAGCCCCGGTTCAACAGTGGTCGTGACAAGGACACAGATGATGGGGACAGTCACCACGAGTGACGCTGGTAGCTGACATGTGTAAGACCATTTGCAAGGTGCCTCTCCTGTTCTAAGCAAGGCCCAGAGCTGGTGAAGGGACATAACAGGATTTACACCAGGATTTGCTCCCAGCCAGTGTCCAGACCTTGTTAACACGCAGTGGACAACGGGTCTCTTGCATCCATGGAACTCATCAGGATGTCGTCAATAGTATCAGGAGTTTCCCCTTACTTCACTCCCTGGTTTACACACAACAGTAAATCACTCTGTGGGCAATCACTCAAGTTCTCATTGACTGGTCTAATTATTGTGTAAGAAGCTGGACTAAAAGGAATGAACCCAGCCCAGGTTCCAGCCACAGCTCAGAGCTGAGAGGGCTACATCAAAGCCAGTGCTACCCCCAAATTACTGTCCTAACACTCTGCGCCAAGATACCGCGAGGGGTCAGTTAAGCTTGAATGGAGTCTTTCTCTAATAAACGTAAATTTCATCATGCCCCGCCGGTGTGGCTCAGTGGATTGCGCCTCCTCCCATGGACTGAGCGGTCCCGGTTGGATCCCCAGTAGGGGACGTGCGGGAGGCGGCCGATCCATGTGTCTCACATCAATGTTTCTCTCTCTCTCCCCAAAATCAATACAGACGTACTAAGTAAATTGATAAAAATAATACTCGGCTTTGGCAGCAAGGGCTGTAAGCAGAAAGCAAAGAGCGCAGCACTGCGGCTGAGACCCCGTTTCCCCCGCGCAGGGCCAATTCCGGGCCCACACTATATTATCTTTTCCCCAAAGAAGTTCTCTGCGCGTCCTTCCCAAAGGAGCCTCCTGATAGGCTGACTGGAGGGCGGTCTGCCCCCCGGTTTCTCGCCAAGCTTGACTAGGGTCGACCGGCTGCAGGAATGCAAACAGCTCCGAGTTTTCATCCTTTACACCCGGCACCCCTGGCGGGGCAGTTCGCTCGATCCACTGTTCGGAGGGAAGGGACACACCTGTGCTCGACGCTAAATAAGGAAACACGCGCGAAGCAATCGCTTTTGCTCGCGGCCTTTGTTTCCTCCCTCGCCCAGGAGATAACGAACCCACGCGCCACCTGTACTCTCGCGATATCACTTGTACGCGTTTCCCTAGAACCAGCCGCTCGCGCTGCACCGGGACAACCACTGCGCATGTTCTCGGCCATGAGGCTGAGAACCGGCCCGACGAGGCCCGCGGGTGTGGGTCGGGAAGCAAGTCAAAGTCCCTGTTCACCAAGGCGGCCGTGGGAGGAGCCTCAGGGACGGCCCTTCGGCCACCGCGGCCCGACTACGGCCGGGACGGTGCTGGCGCAGCCCGCCCCCTTTGGGCCCAGCCCTGGCGCACGCGGCCGGGCGCGGACCCGCGGCGAGGCCCCGGACGGCCCGCCCTTCCCCGGACTCACCCCGCAGGTCCAGCTCGCGGTCGCGCACGGCGTTGGTGTACTGCGCCGCCTGCTCGATCAGCTCCGCCGTCAGCTTCACCATCCTGCCGCTTCCCGCTCCGCTGCGCGGCGCCCGCAGCCTCCCGCCACACAGACGTTCCCGGCGTGCTCCGCGCCCGCGGCCAGACAGGCGTTCCCGGCGTGCTCCGCGCCCGCGGCCAGACAGGCGTTCCCGGCGTGCCCCGCCCCCGCCACCAGGCAGCACCAATCGCACCGGCGCATGCGCGCGCGGCTCGACGTCCAGGCCGAAGCAATCGAAGAGTCACGCTTCCGATCTCATTCTCCTCTGCGGCCCTATCTGGTGTCTGGAGGGTCCCTGATTTCAGACACATTTGCACCCGCTACTTAGGCAAAATGCTCAAGCCCACGAGTGGGACTTTCCCACGTACCTGTGCACCTGGAGGTGCAGGGAGAGCTGTGACTGCTCATTCCACCCGGGAGGGGCGGCCACCGTGGGCCCAGGACCTCAGATGCCCGTCCAGGTTCTGGGCTTTGGGCCCCGGGCTGCAACGTGAGAACCGGCACCGGGCACTGTGGAGTCTGTGGTTAGGCCTGTGGTCTTCAGCTAATGAAATGTTTAACTTGATGCAGGATTTCAGAAAAGTGCCGGAGCAGAAGTCTGCAGCGGGACGGAGACCAGGGAGTGAGCACACCTGCTAGCTGCCGCCGGGGTCCAGAAAAGGAACAGTTCCGAAAGCCTCCGGTCTGAGCATGGCGGTGTTATTTCTCCTTTTACACTGTCCGTTCCAGTTCTTTATCGTCTCGCCCTGTCATTGGCTGCGATCTTAACCACAGTGTTGGACAGTATTGTTAGTGGACATCGTCATCGGGCTTCATTTCATAGCGAAGGGAGGGGAAATCCTGATCTAGTGATCAAAGTTATTATCACCAGAATAAACCCAAATCCTGTATCACCTACTAGGATGCCTTGAGAAGAACATGGCATGACTTCTGTAAGACTCCTGTCAGGGACACATGAACTGAATAGAAATATCAGGAAACCTCAAACACACTGAGGGGCAGGCGACAAATAACGACAAATAGCAGCCTGTAGTGTTTAAAAGGTTCCAGGTCACGAAAGTCAAGGAAGAAGAGACATGAAGACTAAATGCAAAGTATGATTCTGAACGGAAAGTGTGGTCTAAACTGGATCTTTTTGCTAAGGGTATTCCTGGGGCAAGTGGCAAAATGTGAATCCAGTCAGAGGATTGAACACTAGTGATGGATCAATGTAAATTTCCTGATTCTCATGGTTGTTCCGGCTAAGGTCCTTTTTATAGGAGGAAATAGCCTCTAAAGTATTTGGGAGGTAATAGGGAAACATACCAGTAATTTGCCTTCAAACTGTTTATGAAAAGATTTCTCTGTACTAGTAACTTTTTTGTAATTTTGCTTTGTGATTGTTTCAAAATAAAAAGTTAAGACAATCCAAACTTTACGTAATTCCAGAGAGGACCGCAAGGTGGCGGGCTTAGACCACAGATCTGGTTTTACTTGCTGGATTTTTTTTTTTTTTTAAGGGTTTATTTACTTTTAATAGAGGGGTTTTTTTGGTTTGTTTGCTGTTGTTTAGATAGAGAGGAAGGGAGAAGGAGAGAGAGAAAAATCCATCAGCTGCCTCCTGCACACCCCCAACTGGGGATTGAGGCCACAACCTGAGCAGGGAATCCATTCGGTGACTTTTTGGTGCCTGGGACCACACTCAATCCACTGAGCTACACCAGCCGGGCTATTTTGTTACTTTTAAAAAGGAAATTTGTTGTCCAGCTGGTGTGGCTCTGTGGTTGAGTGTCAACCCATGCACCAAGAGGTCACCGGTTAGATTCCTGGTCAGAACACATGACCAGGTTGTGGGCTCGATCCCCAGTGGGGGACATGCAGGAGGTGGCCAGTCGATGTTCTCTCTCATCAATGTTTCTATCCCTTTCTCCCTCTCCCTTTCTCTCCCTTTTTCTCTAAAATCAAGGAGGGGAAAAACATTTTTTTAAAATAATAATAAAAAGGAAATTTGCATGGGTTACTGTTGCTTCAGCACATAAAAAGGGATAAATCAAGCTTAGGCAGTTTTATTAATTTTAGGGTATCTCCATGCAGTTGAGTACACTTCCTTTTTTGATATTTTTTGGTTAGGGTCTCTCCACCTCAGCAGTCAACAATTTTTGGCTGGCTAATTCTTTGTTGTGGGGGCCGTCCTGTCATTCCAGTGCATTTATCAGCATCCCTGGCCTCAACCCACTACATGTCAGTACATTCCTCCAATTGTAATCCCAAAATATCTGCAGATATGGTGACATGACCTCAGGGAGACACAAATCGCCTGTGGTCCAGAAGCACTGTTTTGGGCAACATCTCTGTTCTGGCTGCTTGGGCTCCTGTTTGCTCAACAGGGAGCCTAGGAGGTCTCTGCTCACCCTCAGTATAGCTGTGACATATTGGGGTGGGGGGGGGACTGAATCCCAGGGTATGAGGTGGGTGTTCAGCATTGACCATCCATGTACAAGCCACGGAGCATGGGCGTCAGGAAAGGCCTGAGACAACCAGGAAGGACAGGGACTGGGGCAGGCTCCTCTTTCCCATGGCCACCAGCACTCCGACGCCCCCTGCTGGCTGGGCAGGACCTCGGGATGCTAGAGCATAGTTTTAGTGTGTTGCTTTCCATCAGTCCTGCTTGTTCGTAAATGATTTAAAAGCAGTGGATGATAGTCTCCTCAAGTTCAAGGGAACTACATTGCTGGCCACATTTATTTCATTGATTGATTTGAGAGAGATGGAAACATCGATGAGAGAGAACATCGACTGGCCACCTCCTGCATGTCCCGCACTGGGGATCAGGCCCACCACCTGGGCATGTGCCCTGACCGGGAATTGAACTGGGGACCTCTTGGTGCAGGGTTGACGCTCAACCACTGAGCCACACTGGCCGGGCCATGGCCACACTTAGATCTTTTGTTTTTTTAAAGCTCTGCTCAGCCCCCTTCCTCCTATAGGTGTGTCTTCTGTAACAAATAGAAGTCTCCCCGGCCCTTTGCAGAGTTACAAGGTATACTGTCAGCAGGGGCCTGGGTGAGATGGGATATGAACCTGGGGACCACTGGGAGGTGCTGAAGGACAGGGTCAGAAAAATGTCAGTCCCTGGAAATAAAGCTGGTTTCAAACAGATGCACCATGGCTGTGTTCGGCCAGCTGCAGAGAGCCTGCCTCCTTCCCAGGACACACGGATGGGAGAAGTTTGCCAGCGTGTGGCCCAAGCAAGTCACTTCCCACCCGTGAGACCCGTTCTGTGACATGACAGACTGAGGACCCATGACTGTCACAGAGCCACTCATGGTCAGGACCTTCCAGCAGACACTCCACGTGGACAGTCCTTGTAACGGGGTATTCAGGCCTTAGGACTTTGCGAACAGGTGCCACCTCCCCGGTGCACGGTCCACCCCAGACAGCTGGCCCAGTACTTGGGGGAGGGTACTTGTGCTCCAAGGCTGCCTGTTTGGCTTATTGTGCTGGTGCCCTTATTTCGGGTTCAGTTTTTTAAAAAACGTTTCTATTGACTTTCTTAGAGGGAGGAAGGGAGAGATAGAAACATTGATGTGAGAAACACGGATGGGCTGCCTCCTGCACGCCCCCTACTGGGGATCGAGCCCACAACCCTGGCACGTGCCTTGACCGGGAATTGAACCGGGACCTCAGTCCATGGGACGGCGCTCCATCCACTGAGCCACCCAGCCAGGCGTCTGTTTCAGTTCTAAACATGTTAGAATGTGGGCTCTTTAGGCAAAGAACTCTAGGGGCAAAACAGTGCCCTGCACCAGGGGCAGTTAGCAAGCTGCTGTTTTTGTTGTCAATTCTTACCTGAGGATATTTTTTCCATTGTCAGAAAGAATGGAACAGAGGGAGGGAGAGATGGAGAGAGGGAGGGAAGGAAAGAGAGAGAAAACCATCAATGTGAGAGAGACACGTCAATTGGTTGCCTCCCGCATGACTCAGCCAGGGCCGGGGTTCGAACCTGCGACCCTTCGTGCACGGGCAGAAGCTCTAACCGCGGAGCCACACTGGCCAGAGCAAGCTGCTGGCTTTAATTCCTGTGTCATGGGGGAAACTGACTCTGTATCTGTTCAGCCGGGTCCGGTCTACTGTTTGCCGAACACACTCATGGCTTCACCGCCTGCTCCTGTTAGTCCTGGTGGATTCGTGCTCACGGTGGGCAGTGTCGGGTGTGTGACTTACCCCGCTCCTCTGCGGAACGAGCCTGTCCCTGTGGCCACACTGATGGGACCAGGTGAGCACGGATACGGGGCAGACCGACCACGGCCAAGCAGCAGCCTCAGAAAACTTGTTTAGGGGTTTGGATTTGTGCCGATTTCACCTGGGAGGTGCCGGTGGCCTTGCCGTTTGTCCCGCCCACTGGAGAGAGGACGCTGCTCCAATGCAGAGGGACATTAATGCTGCTCCTGGGGTTCCCCAGGCCCAGCTGCACCACTCCCTGAAATTCAGAGTCAACCCTGATTGGTGCGTGTCCTCTATGTGCAGCTGAAGGATTCCTAGCAGGTACGAGCTTCTGCCTGGCCAGAGAGGCCCTGGTAAAAAAAAAATGCCTGCAGCATGGGACCTGCGGGTGCAGGGATTCCCGTCTTTGTGCAGCAGACCCGCTGGGACCTAATTAAGTCACACCTGGCAGCGTTAGGAGGCTGCCATCTGGGACAGAAAGAAAGGAGGGTCCCTGTACCCAGCGCCCTCCACCCCGCCAGGCTTTTGTGGCCTGAAGAGGGTGTGTGTGCCACTGGACACCCTAGGGCTGACTCTGGAATTCCTCCCATGACTCTGTTACACCGACACCCGCTCAAACTCAGAGACCTTCTGCGTTGATGGCCCGCACGGTGCATCACCGCGCCTCAGAAACAAACAGGCTCCTTTGCTGTGGGCTGTTAACTCTTTTATTCATTCAGGGTTAACACTGTGTTCGCTCTGTGGATTTCCTCTTCGGAGTTGTGGATTCGATCAACACCTGCGGGGCTCCCCCAGCTCACAGGGACAAGTCGGGTGCGTTCCGGTCAAAGGGGGAGCAGGACGACACGGAGAAGGTAGAAGCTCGAAGAAATTTAAGGCAAATGTTACTCCCGTGTTACAGGGAGCCTCGATCAAGCAGGTCTGTGCATTTCAATGAAAATATATGAAATATTTGTCAAAATAATTAACGTCGGTAAAAATCAGAACATGTAGCTTATAAAATGCCGACACAGGTTTGGCAGAAAGAGATCCCCGTGTGGTTAGGCTCACAGGACACGCAGACACGGGGACAGCCACCGTGAGAACGAGTCTCCCGGACAGCAGAGGCCAAGAGTGTTCTAACAGCGATTCCACGAGATGGGATGCGCCCGGGTAACAATCCCTGGGCTGGGCTTACACCTCGGTAAGAGGAATTGCTTGGTCACTGGGCACCCTTTGGCTGGCCCCCGGGACACCTCCTGGGGACCCTCCTCAGGAGGCTCTGCGTCAGGTGGAAGTGGGCATTCGGGCCACGAGACTCCTAGAGACACAGACAGAAGGTGGTAACAGGGGCGTCCGGCTCCCTGAAAGGGGGGTGCTCCCGGGAAGGCCCTTCCCTCCGGGTTTGGGTGCTGACTCTAAGACGCCACAGCCATGTTAAAAGTCACTGACTATGTAGAAATAGACGCTCTATCCCCGGTGGTCAGTTTATGCCCCCCAAATCTATCTTATGTACAGCCTGACCGAACCACCCCACTGCTCTGTGGCAGCTCGGCTCGGCCCTTCATCACGCGTGGGGACAGCCAGGCTCTGTGGGCTGAGATTTGCTCTGGAGAGGTCGAAAGCCTGGGGAAGGGGTGATGCGTGAGGCCAAGGGTCCTGACTTTCAGCTTTGGTCTTGAAGATTCAGTAACTCATGGTCCCAGAGCTGCTCCGAAGCTGTGTGTCCCCAGGACCCGTGTGGCTCCCGTTCGGAATCTGCCAGAAGGATGCGGCCAGCAAGAGGCGTTTGCGGGGACATCACCATCTTAGGGACACCTCCTGGAGCCCACCACCCACCTGGTCTGGGTGCCCACAGGCGGCTGCAGGACTTGGCTCCTGGGAGAGAAACTGTCAGACGCAGGGTGCCGCCCCGGGAACAGGCGTGGCCCACAGTCGGGAGGCAGGAGGACGGACAGACGGACGACGGGAGCGGCCTGGCCCTGGCGGGCGGCCGGGCGCCCCTACCCGGCCCGGAGGCATGTGCGGCAGCAGAACTGGGTGAACAGCTTCCGTTCGCAGAGCCGGTTGGACTTCACCATCTCGCAGAAAGTCTCGTCAGCTGGGGCCGCCAGGAGAGAGAAGGGGGACGCGTCACACCTGGGGACCTGCCCGACTGTCCCCACCATCCCACTGTGCCGGCCCGATGGCGTGCCAGGCCAGGGTTTGGGGGACATGGAGGGAGTGAAGGTGGCGGCCAGGGCAGCCCTCAAGGCCACGCCTGTGACACGTGGGCAGCCCGGCGTGGCAGAGGCGCCACAGGGCATGAGTCCTGGAGATGCACGAGGGCTCCGCGGGAGTGGGGTAAAATGGGCGGAGTCTGGGAGAACATCTGGGCTGTGCCTGGGGTCTCAGTGCCCACGTGCACCTGTGTCCCGACAGCTGTGCTGAGGGGAGATGCAGAGGGAGCCTGAGGGTGCGGGGGCAGGCCTGGAAGGGGCAGGGCCGGGGAGCCCGCACACCTGCCTCCCCCTGGCTTTGGGGACGTGTTGCCATTCCTGCGACTGCCTCACTTTCCTGGGCTGGACACATCATGACCTGGGTGCGTGACTTTCTAAGGAGGGGGCTTCCCGGCCTTTGAAAGACCCCCCCAGATTGGTCTCGGGTCTCCTCTAAGTTCCTGTTCTCACAACACGCCCGTCTCCCGATCTGCTTCGAGAACAGGGTTCTCCCTGTGGTCCACGGGCCTGGACTGGGGGCTCTGAGACCTCAGGACCCCGGACTGTGCCTCCCTGGTCAGTGGGAGAGGCCTACAGGGGAGGGAGGAGTCCCAGGGTGGTCACGTCGAGGAGGGGCAGGCCCGTCTGCTCAGAGGGTGCCCTTCCGGCATATTCTCTCCCCCCCTGGAGGGAGGCCGGCGGGCAGAGCCCCCCAGGGCCGCCCCGTAAGCCCTAAGGCCCAGGCTGGAGCTCACCGTTGCTGCAGGTGTGGTTGGCGAGGCAGGAGCTCCCCAGCTGCGTGAAGCCCGCCTTACATCGGCTGCAGTTCCTGCTGGAGCCTTCGCAACTCAGGCAGCTCTCGTCACACCTGTGCGGGGACATGGGCGCCGCTGCCGTCTGGGGAGGAGGCCCGCCGCGCCAGGCCCCAACCCCGGACCTGAAGCCCTGGCCAAGGTTCGCGTGTCCTGCTGCCCATTGACCAGCAGCACTGTCCCAGGAGGGCGGAGGCGCTCAGGGCCAGGTGGCAGGAGCCGAGGACAGGCTGAGTGTCCGGGACGCCACTCTCCTGGACATTCTCAGGCACTCGGGGTTCTGAATGAGGCACCCCCAGGGATGCGACCAATCTGGTCCTGGAGCTGGCCCGGGGCTGCTGCTGCCCACCAGGCTCAGCTTCCTGCCCCGGAGATGGGACCCAGGGCTATTTCTAAGACAGTACTGTGCCCTCAGGGGAGGGTTGGCACACTCGGGCTCTCGCCACCTCTAGCAGTTTAATGGAACAGTCACACTCCTGTCTTCGCTGTCCTGACTGGGACGTATGGCCGGCAAAGCCCGAACTACGGACTGTGGGCCCTTCACTGAAGAAGCTGAATGTGCACCTGCCTGCTCTGGGCCGAGCATGGGCCTGGGCTGCACCTGCTGCCTTTTCTGAGTCCAACTCCCAGTGACAGGGTCTCCACCGCTCCGGGCTGCTGCCCACCTTCATTCCCAATGACGCAGGCGGGAGCTTCTGTGGTCTGCTCCTGGGCATGAGCACCGCCAGCCAGGCCCTGGGACCTGCTTCCTGCCCTGGTCCAGCTACACGGTGCCTGGCACATGGTGCCCAGCACACGGTGCCCAGCTACACGGCGCCCAGCTACACAGTGCCCGGCACACGGTGCCCAGCTACACGGTGCCCGGCACATGGTGCCCAGCTACACGATGCCCAGCACACGGTGCCCAGCTACACAGCGCCCGGCACACGATGCCCAGCTACACGGCGCCCAGCACACGGCGCCCAGCTACATGGTGCCCGGCACACGGTGCCCAGCTACACGGTGCCCAGCTACACGGTGCCTGCTGAAGAAACAAACGCTCCTTAAATGGACAGAGGTGTGACAGCCCCAACTAGCTGTAACCTTGGCAAGTCTGACCTGCAGGGGTCCCTCCTCCGTAAACAGTTCCTGTTTGCCCACCAGACCCACCCGGTGTGAACTGCGGCACCCCCTTCCCCCAGCTCCCTGGCAGGAGGGCTACCAGACTCCGCCCTCCTGCCACCCCTGGGCTGGCACAGGCAGCCCCCCCACCCCCCGGGCACGTACCTGCGGCACACCCTGTGGGGCAAGCCCGGCATCTCCTCCGGGTAGTAGCCCTCGCCACAGGCGGGCACACACTTCCAGTCCTGGAAGTACGCCGCACAGTGAATGCAGTCCTCTCTGCCGGGGCCTGGGTGCAGAAGAGAGGCAGCCGTCAGGGCCCTCCCGCCGCGGGTCCCAGGCCGCTGTGCACGTGCCCAGGCCACCACCGCAGCCAGATTTCCAGGGGCCCACCTGTGTCTGCACTGGGCCCTCCTCACCCACTCCTGGGAGGGAGGAGGCATCAGAGTCCATTTCACAGATGGGAACACGGAGGCAGGAGCCAAGCGTAGCACAGGCCCCCCACCACCACCACCCCAAGGCCCAGGCCGCGTTCATGGACCCTGATTCCAATGCTTCCTTTCCCGGCAGGCCTCGGCCCTGCTTCCGCTGGAGCCCGCCACCCGCGGCTTCGCGCTCTTGAAGTGTGGCGGGACCAGCGGGGTGGTGGGTGCCCTCTGGCTGCGGAGGCTGTGAACTGCTCTGCCCGGGGGCTGTCTGTCTGGGGGCAGGCCCTTGCTCAGAAAGGACCTGAGATGCCATGTGACAGAGATTCAGACACGGTGGGTGGATTCTGGTGGTGGAGGGAACAGGCTTTTTAAAACATGGCCCTGGCCCTGACCGGTTTGGCTCAGTGGTTAGAGTGCTGGCCCGCCGACCGGAGAGGCCCGGTTCGGTTCCCGCTAAGGTCATGTACCTTGGTTGTGGTTTGTCCCCGGCCCCGGTTGGGGTCGTGTGGGTGGCAACCAGTCAATGTGTCTCTCTCACATTGATGTTTCTCTCTCCCTCTCCCTCCCTCTCTCCCTCCTGCTCTATCTGAAGATAAATGCAAAAATGTCCTCAGGTGAGGATTAAAAAAATAAATAAAACATGGCCCTGGCCTGGCCAGTGTGGCTGCATTCATTGGTGAGAGGTGTCCTGTGCACAGAGGGTTGGGGGTTCGATTCCTGGTCACCTATGGGAGGTAGCCAATGGATGTTTCTATTACCGGTGTTTCTCTCTCTCCTTCTCCCTTCCTCTTTCTCTAAACCCAATTGAACCATATTCAATAATAATTAAATTATCTATTGTCTTGCTGGCCAGTTTGGCTCAGCGGTTGGAGTGTCAGCCTATAGACCAGAGAGTCCCAGGTTTGGTTCTCGCTAGGGGCACATACTAAAAAAAAAAAAAAAAAAAAAAATTAAAATAAGGTCATCGGTTCGTTGTGTGGTCAGGGCACATGCCCAGGTTTCGGGCTTGATCCCCAGTAGGGGGCGTGCAGGAGGCAGCTGATCAATGTTTCTCACTGATGTTTCTCTCTCTCTCTCCCTCTCCCTTCCCCCCTCTCTCTCTCAAATCAATAAAAACTTTTTTTTTTTAATAAGAAAAAACAGAGAAGACTTCAGTTGAAATGCATCTGAGCCCACAGACTCCTAATGGGCTCTCACATCCAAGCAGAAGCAACTCACAGCGTGAAACCGCATAAAACGCACGCTCGGCCGTTCTGCATAATGACCGTGCCTGGAAGACACCTTCGCTATCGTCTTGCTGGGGGTCACAATACACATAGAACTGTTTACAGAGCTCTCTTCCCGTGGAAGAAAGCATGCAGAGTGAGTGAAGCTAGGTACAAGAACGACAGCAGTGTTTTGACCCTTGTCTGAGGACATGGTTTTCAATGATTCGAGAGAGAGGAAGGGAGAGAGGGGGAGAGAGAGAGAAACATCGATGTTAGAGTGGAATAGTGATCGGTTGCCTCCTGTAGGCACCCCAACCAGGGATTGAAGCCCCAACCTGGGCACGTGCCCTGACCAGGAATCGAACCTGCAACCCTTCTGTGCACAGGACGACTCTAACCACCGGTCAGGGCACGGCAATGTTTTAAAAAGCCTCTTCCCGCCCTGGCCAGTTTGGCTCAGCGGTTAGAGCATCAGCCTGCAGTCCAGAGAGATCTGGGTTCGGTTCCCGCTAAGGGCATATGCCTCGGTTGCAGTTTGTCCCCGGCCCTGGTTGGGTTGTGCGGGTGGCAGCCACTCGATGTGTCCCTTTCACGTTGATGTTTCTCTCTCTCTCTCTCTGTTCCTCTCTCTCCCTCCCACTCTACCTGAACAAAAAGTGAAAAAATGTCCTCAGGTGAGAATAAAAAAATAAAAAGCCTCTTCCCTTCTCCACCAGAATGCACCCGCCGTGCCTGGGTCTCTGTCACCTGGCATCTCTGGGCCTTTGGGCAAGGACGGGGCCTCGGGACAGAAGCTCACGCGCAGTTAGCGGCCGCTGCAGCCGGGGGGGGCACCCACCGCCCGGCCGGGCTTCCGAGGCTGGGAAACCCAGGCTGCTCGTTCCAAGGGCGCTCTTTGGGCTTTTCTTTTTGACGTGTAAAATGGTGATAAAACGTCTGCAGCGTAAAACTGACCGTGTATGGACCATGACCAGGTACACACTGGGGCGGCCATCACCCCCAGCCAGCGCTCCAGCCCAGAACCTTTCTATCTCCCCAAACTCAAACTTCGTGTCTACGAACAGTGACCCGTGCCCCCCACCCCCTGCTCTCGGTGGGTCTCTGCGATTTAATGCTGCGAAGCCCATGGCAGCCCAAGAGGTCCCGAGAAAAGCCACCCCCTGGCCCGAGGCCCGTGCAGGCGACGGACTCACCCACGCAGGTCTTGCAGCTGGGGTGGCACACCCCGCACTTGACCAGCTCCGAGTCAAAGTAGGTGCCCGGCTCGCAGTCTGGAACGCAGCTGCCCCGTGCGAGGCTGGGGAAGGAGCACAGGGCAGGTTCCTAGTCCCTTCCAAGTTCGAATTCAGTGACGATCTGCCCTCAAACGGCCCTCGTGAGTGGACAGGGAAGTTGCCAACGCGCAGCTCGGTGTCCACTCGGGCTCTGAGCTAAGGACAGCGGGGAAGCTGTCCCAAAACGCTTGGGATCCCGCTGGAAGTGTCACCCTGGGACTTAAAGCTGAGCCTCCGCCTTGGGGGGCCGGCGGGACCCGGCACCACCTCCAGAGCCCAGTGGCCTGGTCCCGGTGCGGATGGCCGAGTCCTCACATCCTCTCCTGGTCAGCGATGGCTTCACTGACGTCAGTCGAACTTGAACCCGAACCCCAAGAGGAGAATGAGCATGCGTGGGCGGCCCCTGGTGCCAGGCCGCCGCAGTGCCCAGGAGGGTGTGGGTCCTGCAATTCGGGGGAGATGGCGAGGTCCCCATGGACTGGGTGCCCCTCCCGCAGCCCCCCTGGGAGGTGGGTTCCCATGAGCGGAAGCCTTGGATCCTGCCCCGACACCGTCAGGTTCCAGCCTGGGGTGAAGGAGCCCTGATCGGAGGTGACATCACAGCCGCAACCCCGGGCCCCCAGCTGTGGCCAGCTCAGTGTCCCCTTTGTCTTCTGGGGGCCGATCCTGTCACTGCTAACCCTGCCTTGACCAGCCAGCAGGTTTAAATGACGACAGGTGTGACGACAGGTGTGACACGTGGCCCCGGGGCCCTCCATACTGGGATTAGACACGCTTCTCCTCTGACCTTCAACCAGATCCGGAAGAGGGGGCAGGCTAAGGGGACCCCACTAAGGCAGCAGCGACCTGCTCCCCAGGGAAGCGGTTTCTCTCCCTGGTTAGAAAAGTGGGTCACGTTAGTGTCCAAATCACAGGCTGCTGTGAAGATGAAGCAAGGCCCTGCCGGAGGGACAGCCGGGACACAGCCTGCGTCTGCCCCCTCGCCCCTGCCGGAGGGACAGCCGGGACACAGCCTGCGTCTGCCCCCTCGCCCCTGCTGGACGGACAGCCGGGACACAGCCTGCGTCTGCCCCCTCGCCCCTGCCGGAGGGACAGCCGGGACACAGCCTGCGTCTGCCCCCTCGCCCCTGCCGGAGGGACAGCCGGGACACAGCCTGCGTCTGCCCCCTCGCCCCTGCCGGAGGGACAGCCGGGACACAGCCTGCGTCTGCCCCCTCGCCCCTGCCGGAGGGACAGCCGGGACACAGCCTGCGTCTGCCCCCTCGCCCCTGCCGGAGGGACAGCCGGGACACAGCCTGCGTCTGCCCCCTCGCCCCTGCCGGAGGGACAGCCGGGACACAGCCTGCGTCTGCCCCCTCGCCCCTGCCGGAGGGACAGCCGGGACACAGCCTGCGTCTGCCCCCTCGCCCCTGCCGGAGGGACAGCCGGGACACAGCCTGCGTCTGCCCCCTCGCCCCTGCCGGAGGGACAGCCGGGACACAGCCTGCGTCTGCCCCCTCGCCCCTGCCGGAGGGACAGCCGGGACACAGCCTGCGTCTGCCCCCTCGCCCCTGCCGGAGGGACAGCCGGGACACAGCCTGCGTCTGCCCCCTCGCCCCTGCCGGAGGGACAGCCGGGACACAGCCTGCGTCTGCCCCCTCGCCCCTGCCGGAGGGACAGCCGGGACACAGCCTGCACCTGCCCCCTCACCCCTGCTCCCCAAACATCTGCTGGTGCGTGGTTCCCAGGAAGCCAGGCCCTGGCCTGTGGCTCAGTGGTTAGAGCACTATCCCGCTACGCCAAGGTTGCGGGTTCCATCCCCAGTCAGGGCACAAACAAGAATCAACCAATGATGCATCAATACATGGAACCGGCCTGGCCGGGTTTGCTTAGCGGTTAGAGCATCGGCCCATGGACCAATGAGTCGCAGGTTCAATTCTGGTCAAGGGCACGTACCTCTGTTGCGATTCATCCCCGGCCCTGGTTGGGGTTGTGTGGGAGGCAACGAGTCAAGGTGTTTCTCTCACATCAATGTTTCTCTCTCCCCCCTCCCCCCACTCTGTTTGAAGACACGTGGAAAAATATCCTCGGGTGAGAATTAAAAAAAAAAAAAGTGGAACAAGAAATCAATGTTTCCCTCTCTCAAATCAATTTTACAAATTAAAAAAACTGGGGTGAGGGGGCTGGGGTGGGAGGGGGTGTTGCAAACCTCCAGGACCCGGATGCACTGGCTGCTCCCACCGGGACCAGCAGCGTCCTGGCCACTGGGGGCGACAGGAGTGCAGACCCAGAATCCCCATTTTCCCAGACGGGGTGACTCGGGTGCTGCCCCGGGGTGAGGAGCATGGCTGTGACCCCTGACCTCTTTCCCTGCCCTCTCCTCAGTTCTTAATCCCAGCTCTGTTCGAACACATGCTAACACCTCTCCACCCTCACGGTCCCTTCCGTGGGCCCCAAACAGCCTGCCGTCCGGACTCAGAATACAGCACACTGTTCCTGGAGAGGCTGCCACGGGCCGGGCATTGTTCGGGGCCCTGTACCTAGCTCATCTCCTGTGACCTTCAGGAGGAAGGTTGGCGTCATGCCCCCACTGTACATCTATGGAAACAAAGACGTATGATTTCAAGTCTCTCTCTGAGGGGGGCATGGCCAGCAGGTTGACCTTTCCTTCTTTCTTCTTTCCTTGATGCTCACCCAACGACATGCTTTGATTGATTTGAGAGAGAGAGAAAGGGAGAGCAAGATCGAGGTGAGAGAGAAACATCGATCAGTCCCCTCCTGCACGCTTCCTGACTGGGAATCAAACCCTCAACATTTTGGGGCACAGGACGATGCTCCAACCACTGAGCCACCAGGCCAGGGCAACCCTTCCCTCATTTTTTTTTAAAAAAAATATGTTTTATGGATTTTTTAGAGAGCGCGCGAGAGAGAAAAGGAGAAATAGAAACATCGACATGAGAGAGAAACATCAATCGGCTGCCTCCTGCACGCCCCCTACTGGGGATCAAGCCTGCAACCCAGGCATGTGCCCTGACCGGGAATTGAATGGGACCTTTGAGTCCATGGGATGACACTCAACCCACTGAGTCACACTGGCTGGGCCCTTCCTTCATTTTATTTTTTAAATATGTTTTTATTGATTGTTTTAGAGGGGAAGGGAGAGAGAGAGAGAGAAATGTCGATGTGAGAGAGAAACATCAATCGGCTGCCTCCTGCACGCCCCCTACTGGGGATCGAGCTCACAACCCAGGCATGTGCCCTGACCGGGAATCAAACCAGACCTCTCAGTCCATGGATCATGCTCCATCCACTGAGCCCCCCGGCCGGGGCAACCCCTCCCTCCTTTAAAATGCAGACAGCTTCTAGGCTCTGGATGTGTTCACAGCATCATTTCGAAAAGAATGTCATCTAAGCTCCTCGACAGGAACGTCAAGAAACGGGTGACGACTGGTTGCCTGAAGTGCGGTTCAGTTGCAGTAGACATTTAAAAATATCTCACTAAAAATATTTTTCTGGGTTAATTGAGAGAAGAGAGAAACCGGAGTCTGATTTGGACCGACGCGTAACCTTTACCCTGCCAGGCTTCGGGGAACTCAGCTTTCGGCAAAGACGGGCATGCACGTGGCACGTCACCGACAGACGGGCAGTGTGAGGCCCAGGGAAGGGTCTTACCTGAAGCCTTCTGTGCACACAGTGCATCTCTCTGGGTCACCGACGCACTTTTTACAGCTTGGGTGGCATTTAAAGCATTTTTTCTGACCTGGAGGAAAAGAGGAGCAGGAAAAGGGGGAACGGGTGTGATCAGGTCTAGGCTCTGGTATCCCCAGTTCAGCTCAGGGACTCTCCCAGGAGGACCTTCCACCCACTTTCCACCCCCACGTCGTCGCTAAGCTGGTGCAGGCTCCCAAGCCCCACCCCAGCCCTGCCCACGCACCCGTCCAGGGCCACAGGGAAGCCCCCACGCGGTCTCTCCCGCAGGAGAAAGTACAGGACAGACAGACAGCCATCCTCAAAGTGCTTCCTCAGCTGACACCTGCAATCCCACTGACCCCAGAGCCTCTGGCCTAAGCCGCCCCTCTGCCCGTCCTCAGAAACACTGACTTGGCGGACGTGGGATCCCTCAAACCGCGGGGTTCATTCCGACAGCGCTTTGGACTGTTGGGCGACTAACCGCAGGTTTGAAGGCTCCGATTTCGCCATCTCCCCTGTTCAGGGTCCTTTCTCAGAAGGACTGAGCAGAGCCAGGGAAAATTCAACCTGGAGAGGGGACCCCAGCCCAGGGAGGGGGCCGATTCCCCCATTCCCCGCACTTACTCTCCAGAGCGTAAAAGCCCGCAGGACAGAGGCTCACGCAGGTGCTCATCTCCGGGTGGTGGTAGAACCCACGGCGGCAGGACAGGCACTGCGTGGGGCTCCTGCCCGAGCAGGTCTCACAGCCCCTATGGCACCGGCGACAGCGTCTGGCAGCTGAGTCTCCAAAGTAGCCCAATGGGCACACGCTCACACACTTTCTGGGGGGCACAGAGGACCTCTTCAGCTCAGCCAAGTCCCACCCCAAAGTCCACCACGGAAGGGCAGTGAGCGCAGGGGGCCTCAGCTGTCCTCCCCCCAGCCCCCTGCCCATCTCCAACCTTCCAGGGTACCAAGGCCCCAGGGGTGAAGTGGAAACCAGGAATGCCTTCCTCTCACCAAGCAGCTGGGCACTCAGGGATGAGAGCCCCCAGCCCGGCCACAGCCCTGCTGGGCACTCAGGGATGGGAGCCCCCTGCCCGGCCACAGCCCTGCTGGGCATTCAGGGATGGGAGCCCCCAGCCCGGCCACAGCCCTGCTGGGCACTCAGGGATGGGAGCCCCCAGCCCGGCCACAGCCCTGCTGGGCACTCAGGGATGGGAGCCCCCCTGTGCCTCACAGCCCTGCTGGGCACTCAGGGATGGGAGCCCCCTGTGCCTCACAACCCTGCTGGGCACTCAGGGATGGGAGCCCCCTGCCCGGCCACAGCCCTGCTGGGCACTCAGGGATGGGAGCCCCCAGCCCGGTCACAGCCCTGCTGGGCACTCAGGGATGGGAGCCCCCTGTGCCGCCCCAACCTTGCTGGGCAATAAGGGATGGGAGGCCTCTGTGCCACCCCAACCTTGCTGGGCACTCAGGGATGGGAGCCCCCCTGCCTGGATGGGAGCCCCTCCTGCCCAGCCCACGATGCTGACTCCTGAACAGCACTGGCCTCTGAAACGTCTCTCATCCACAGCCCCTGTGGTCAGCCTCGGGCTGCTCGATGCCCCCGTTTTAGGGAGCGGAAGGGACTAGTGTACAAGCACAGACACCGGTGCCACAGCTGCCGGTTTCTCTGTCAGGGACACACATTACCTGTGTGACGAGACCCCCCAAACTACTCCAACGTATGAAATCCCAAAGCGGGGAACCTCGGTGGGACTGCCGTTCTGGGCACCCCGAGTTCTTCAGCAGCGCCAGGTGTGGGTGCTCAGGGCAGCCCCGCACAGGCCCCTCGGCGCGCTGCGGGCTCCCAACGTGCGCGCGGAGCCCAGCCGGTACCTGCTGGTCTTGGCGCTGCCCAGGCTGAAGTGGACGCAGTTCAAGCACTGGTCTGCGCTGGGGCCGTCGCAGCCCTTGTCCCCACACTCCGGATGGCACACACCTCGAAAGAACAAGCATTTCCTTTCACCCACCGAGAAACCCTCAGCCAAACCCAGTCCCCCAGGACCCTGAGTGGGGGTCAGGAGCAGCTCCCCGGGACAGCGGTGGGCCTGCGGGTCTGGACAGCCAGACCACAGACCCGGGCATCCAGCCCTACGGGATTCTGGACACAGGGAGCAGGTCCCTGGTTAGTGTCCCCGTGTCAGGGGTTCGATACTAGCCCGGGACAGCCTCAGACCGACAGCACCCAGCAGGGGGTGGGGACCCAGATCCAAGAGAGACTAAGGGAGAGGCCGGGACGGGGGAGGCAGGGACCAGCCAGCAATTCTGGTCTCCATCCTGAAGGACCGAGCAAGGTAATCTGGGGAGGGAGGGCATCCGGGCAGCGGATACAGTGATGATCGCCCGGGAAATAAGCGGGAAGATGGGTAGGAGCAGGACGGATTTCCACGTGGTCAGGACCACGGGTGGGCCTGGGGGTGGGGTGGCCTCACACAGGGCCCATCACTCCTCCTCCTGTGGGCTCCCCCACTCTGTCCCTCAGCGGGGGGCCACTGGTCTCTCCTCAAGTGCCCTCGACCCCCTCAATTTAACTCCTGGGGGTCTTGTTGCAAAGGCGCCGGGGAGATGCTGAACGGGCACCAGCCTCGTCTTCCGGGTGCCCGCCCCTGGGTGGACCAGCGGGAGAGCCATTCAGAGCCCTGGGTCAGCGGATCAAGGAAGGTGCCCCTGACCTGCATCCCAGCCCCCTCCCTACCCTCCTCCTCTAGGAAGTGGCTCAGGAGAGCCCACCTCGCAGGGAGCGGCCCCGGGGACCATTACAAAGGCTTTGAGTCTGGAGAAAGAAAGACCAACCCTTCTACAAGCTTCTGGCTATTGGAGAGCGGGAGCGAGTTCAGGGGCAGAGAGGAGGTGATCTGCTGGCGGCCAGCATTTCCCAGGGACGCAGGCGAAGACAAAAGTCCCGTTCTCTGCCGCCCACAATGGGGCTTTGCTGAGGGGCACAAAGACCCCTTCATCCCTCTTGAAAGGGCCTCGAGACCTTCCCAGTGTTTGGCCGGTTTATTTTGCTTCCCTCCCCGAAGGTTTGATGGTGTTGACATTTCCAGCATTCTCATCGTGGGTCCCGCCGTGAACCCCTTCCTAAGTGCGGCTGGTCCCTGGGGGTGCGCCGGGCCGCGTCCCGGCCTGGAGCCACCTAGCAGGGGACTGGCCACATCCCAAGCTCGGAGCACAGCGAGGGCCACCCCCCCCCCCCGAACTCCGGACTGTGGGCTGTTGGGGGTCATTTGATTTAATTCTGGTCCACGTCAGCCCAGCTGCTTCGTGGGGAGACCCTTGGGGATCAAGCTTCCTCGCACCATCTCGCTGAAAACACCCTGAACTTGGCTCCCGGGCTCCAGCCCTCCCAGCCTTGCAAAGCGCCCCCTCCTGCAGGGACTTCTCCTGAGCCCAGGGGCCCCCCAAGTCAGCCTCCCTGAGGAAGGTAACAGTGTCCTCAACCGCGAGGAGATCTGGGGCCAGATCTGGCTCAGAAGGAAGTGCCTCGTGGGCAGGATTTGTTCTAGAACATTCTCTGCTACGTTCCCAGCACCCGGATGGCCGCTGGTCACGGGAGGTGCCCAGTGAATCTCTGCAGAGCAGTCAGGGCAAAAGGGGAGTGGCGGGAAACTGGGAAGGGCAGGTGTCCTCTCCATCCACACACTGAATGTTCTAGAACGTCCCAGGTCAGGATGGCTGGGAAGGGCCTAGGGCTGGGCTTCCAGCTGCTGCCTCACCCCCTCACCTCTGTGCTGCGCTCTGCAAACAGCTTTAATAACCATCGTCCCACTGCAAAGTGCCCCTGACCTTCCCCTATCTTCCTGGGCTTGTCTGAGGCCGAGATGGTCCCGCAAGGGGGGCCCGAGACGCCCCATCCCACGTGCCTCCTGACTGTGCCCTGATCTCTGTGGCTGCTTGCCCCCCTCCTGTCTCCTCCCCTCCTCTCTGCCCTTCCTTCCTCCTCGGAGCCCTCTCCCCCTTTGCCCTCCACCCTCTGGCTCTCCCAGGTGGCACTGGCCCTGGTGGCCACCTGCCCCGAGCACACGGGGCACTTCCCTGAGCACCAGGGACAGGCCACCACCCCACAGAGCCCCTCGGTCCTTCAAGCCACACTCGGGGAGACTGAGGGACGGGCTGCAGGCCAGTCTTCTTGTGAGGCTCCAGGACAGGGAAGTGAGTGTCAGTAGCAGATTTTAAGGAAAAGAAGCAGTCACGTATGAATAAGGACTGAATCTTGCCACACTTTCCGAGTCCCAGGGGGAAACAGCAGAGTAGCCCATACATAATCCACCGGTCCGTTTTCCAGGAGAGGGAGAAGGAACTTGAAATGGAATCGCCCACGATTCAGGCTTGAGAGGCATCGGTGGGGTGCCTTTTCTCGTTACCTTCTCCCCGCCAGAGGCTACGAGACGGCCCAAAGCATCACCTGCCCGGCCCCGTCACGGTCACGCAGCTGGAAGAGTTCGCTAAGGACACCGCCCGACCAGAAACACGCCTTTTCTCACAGATCACGGTGGGAGGGTTCGGCAGGGAAGGAACATGCTGACCCAGAGCGGAGGCCCCGCGCCGGGGTCCCCTGGTAAGGACCGGTACCCCTGGACAGCAGTTCCTGCAAGGCAGTGCCTCTGCATCCCGTGAGATTCTGCGGCTGTTTCATGTGGCATCAGCATCTACTGACATCAAGTCCCGAGACCCAATCCTGGTCTTTGCGGCAGCCCTGGAGGCCGCTCAGACCTCCGGCTGGTCCCTTCCCTGGCTGTGTGCACCCAGCCGCCCTGACTCCACGGACGGGAAGTGGATGCGGGAGGGTCTGGCCGTGCGTCGGGAGCCCAGAGGAGTCTCACGGACCAGGGGGCAGGCCCCAGTTCTGGGTGGGCACACAGAACCTCGGTGTCCCGGCTGGGAGGTTGGAGATACTTACTAGTTTGCAGCATACTTACTGGTCTGTAAAGTATTGGGAGAACCGTGGGCGGAGGATGCTGTGTGAGTGCAAATTGGCATCATTACTAGGGTTTCAGGACATGGAGGAGACGCACCAGCCTAACCCCACCTTCAGCGGGAACAGCCCTGTGTCCTGAGAGCGGAGAGGAGACCCCCAGAGCTGGCCGTGTCCTCCGGGTGCAGGCTCATTACCTGTGTAGTCCTCTTCGTCCTCGGGAACCTCAGCGGGGGACAGCAACACGGCAGCCTTGGGGGGCTCCAGCCCCGGGGTGGGCAGCTCCAGCATGCGCGAGCGGGACTGATGGGAGCTGAAGGTGTTGTAGGGGTGCCCCGCCGTGCCATACAGGACAAGGCTCCATTCCTTCAGCTTCCCTGCAAGGCACCAACCCAGAGTCAAGAAACCTCCCTGGGGAAGCTCCTGGCCCCTCGGCCTGGCCAAAGGCCTCCGTCACCCACAGCAGTGCCAGGTGCCGCCTGGCTCAGTCCCCCAAACCCCGTCTCTCTCTTTTTTTTTTTGCATTTATCTTCAGATAGGGAGAGAGAAAGGGAGGGAGGGAGGGAGAGAGAAATATCGATGTGAGAGAGACACATCGAGTGGTTGCCACCCACACGACCCCAACCAGGGCCGGGGACAAACTGCAACCGAGGTATGTGCCCGTAGCGGGAACCGAACCCAGGACTCTCCAGTCCGTGGGCCCACGCTCTAACCACTGAGCCAAACTAGCCAGGGCCAAACCCCGTCTCTTGCTATCAGAATGCTGCATTCGGGAGAGGGGGTCCACCTCCATGCTCTGCAGGCTGCACTTTTTAAAAAAAAATTTTTTTTCTTTACTGATTTTAGAGAGAGAGGAAGGGAGAGAGATAGAAGCATTGATGAGAGACAACATTGACTGGCCGCCTCCTGCATGCCCCCCACTGGGGATCGGGCCCACAACCTGGGCATGTGCCCTGACCGGGAATCAAACCGGCGACCGCTTGGTGCAGGGTTGACACTCAACCACTGAGCCACACCGGCCGGGCTGCAGGCTGCACTTTTTTTTTTTTTTATCCTCACCTGAGGACATTTTTTGTTCAGATAGAGAGGGAGGGAGAGAGAGGAAGAGAGAGAGAGAGAAACATCGACATGAAGGGACACATCGAGTGGCTGCCACCCGCACGACCAACCAGGGCCAGGGACAAACTGCAACCGAGGTACGTACCCTTAGCGGGAACCGAACCCGGGTCTCTCCGGACCGCAGGCCGACGCTCTAACCGCTGAGCCAAACCGGCCAGGGCGCAGGCTGCACTTTTATTGTCGCTGCTCCATCTCCTTCCACACCTCACTCCGCATGGCAGCCCTTCCGTCCTCGGTCTATATCCTACTTTTGCAATGCGGGCAACCCTGCTGTGTGACTAGTTCATGCTCCAGTTGCAGGGACCTCTCGAACTCTCTGGATCTTAGCACAGGGGGCTCCTGGGAGCTGTGGTCCCTCCTGGCCTGGCAGGGCCTGGACGACGGAGGCCAGGAGGCAGCTCCCAGGCTGCTCGAAACCGTGTTGGATGATGACCCTCACACAGCGCGGCCCACGACAGCCTTGCTGCTTTTCTTTTAAAAACGTGTTTTTATTGGTTTTTCAGAGAGAGGAAAGGAGAGAGAGAGAGAGAAACATTGATCAGCTGCCTCCCGCACGCCCCCTACTGGGGATCGAGCTCACAACCTGAGCATGTGCCCTGACCGGGAATCAAACCGGGACCTCTCAGTCCACGGGACAGTGCTCAGTCCACTGAGCCACACCGCCAGGCAGCAACCCATCCCCAAACCATCACCCCAGCCCCAAACGCCTACAACCCCCAAGCCCGGCGTCTCCTAGCCGGGCCAGCACTGGGCGATGTAGGTCCTCGAATTTGAGGACACGCTCCTGAGCTAGCGATTTTGGAGGCTCGGCCTTCTAAAGGGCTCTGTTACACACTCTGGCCAGTTCCCTAAAACACTCCTAACACAGGCTGCACCGTTAACGACGGCAAGGAGCGGTTCTCACGGGCACAGGTGCAGAAACGTGGTTGGTCCCTGTATGACGCGTCACCGTCCTCCATCCCTGGGGATCGAATAAAGCTGCCTTTCAAAGCCCCACGGAATCTGAGCATTTTAACTACTGACAGGCTGCAATTAAGGCGGGAACATAATGGCTACATGACAAAGACCAAGGGCTCTGCGAGCTATAATTTGAGTAGAGATCTATTTCAGACATATACGATGCCCTGAAAATCCCGCCAAAGGCCTGGTCGCTAAAATTAGATCCTTATTTTCGGATGTAGTTCTGGTAAGGCACACAGAGGGGCTGCTCCCGTGTGGAGGGAGAGAGGGCAGGAGGAACTCCGAGAAACTGAAATCGTAGATCCTAAGAGTTCTCAGCACAAGGAAAATAAACCAACACACTTTTTCCCCCCTTTTTTGTGTATGTCTATCTGAGATGATGGATGTAACTAAACTTACCGTGGTGATCCTGTTACAGTATACAGAAGTCAAGTCCTCATGCGGTACACCCTAGAAGTATTCAGTGCCCTGTGTTGATTATATCTCAGTAAAACCAGGGAAAAATGAATTCCAAGAAACCAGGAGGAGGAGGCTGGAGGGGAGGCGGGGGTGCAGGAGTGGAAGAGAGACTTCATTTTTCTTAAAAAAGCAAAACAAAACACCCACAGCATGTATTGCCTTTCACAGACATACATTAAAATAAAATAAAATAAAATAAAATAAAATAAAATAAGAGTTTAATTTTAAGAAGTTATGGCCCTGGCCAGATAGCTTGGTTGGTTAGAGCACTGTGGGTTCAATACCCGGTGGAGCACGTGCAGGAGGCAACCGTCCGATGTTTCTCTGTCACATCAATGTTTCTCTTTCTTCCCCTTCCTCTCTCTCTCTCTCTCTCTCTCTCTCTCTCTCTCTCTTTTAATCCTCACTGGAGGATATTTTTCTATTTATCTTCAGATAGAGTGGGAGGGAGAGAGAGGAAGAGAAAGGGAGAGAGAAACATCAACGTGAGAGGGACACATTGACTGGTTGCCTCCCGCAGAACCCCAACCAGGGTCAGGGATGAACTGCAACCGAGGCACGTGCCCTTCGCGGGAACTGAACCCGGGTCTCTCTGCTCTGTGGGCCAACACTCTAACCACTGAGCAAACCGGCCAGGGCTAAGATGATCTTTTAAAAAACAAAAGTCAGCCCGGCCGGTGTGGCTCAGTGGTTGAGCGTCAACCAAGAGGTCGCTGGTTCAATTCCTGGTCAGGGCACATGCCCAGGTTGTGGGCCCGATCCCCAGTGGGGGGTTCGCAGGAGGCGGCCAATCGATGTTCTCTCTCATCGATGTTTCTACCTCTCTCTCCCTCTCCCTCCCCCTCTCTCTAACATCAATAAAGAAAAATAAAATAAAAAACAAAAGTCGAAAGCAGACCAAATTAATCTCCACATGAAGGGTGCTCACACCTGTGCTACATGGAGTTTATTAGCTTGCAATGAGACCTCAGGGCAAAAACAGAGAGGGCCACTTTCAAAAGGAAAACCAGCTTATACACAAAGCCTTGGAAACATGCCACCCTCTTTCTTACGATCACAACACAAACGAAGCCAAAATACTATTTTTCTCCTCCAGGACTGGTCAATGAATATGCCGACTGGCGCCTGGGGAGACTGTGAACCGATTCGACTATTTTGAAAAGCAAATTGGTAATATGTATCAAAAGCAGATATATCTGTGGTTTCCACTTCTTATCTGTCCCAGTAATTTGACTTCTGGTAAATGATCCCAAAGAAATCATTTTAAATTTAGGAGAAAGCTCTCTGCATTAAAGCTGTCTATTTATAATGGCGAAAACCCAAAAAGCAATCTACATGTCCAAGGATAGAGGGATACTTAAATAAATTATGGTATTTTCTCCTTGACAACACAGTATAAAAAACATACAAAACGCTGCTTACAGAGGATTGACAAGGACATTAAAAACTGCTTGATATGCAAGTAACAGAAAAAAGCACAAAGTGATGTCTGAAGCATGGTCAGAGCTCTGTAAAATGTCAAGAAAAAAGACCCCATGGAAATATAGACATGTTTTCTTATCATGATGTGTTTCTTTCTTTCTTATTATTGATTTTGAGAGAGAGAGGAAGGGGGAGGGAGAGAGAGAAAGAGAAACATCAACGTGAGAGCGAAATGTTGATCAACTGCCTCCTGCACGGGCCCCTACTGGGGGTCGAACCCACAACCTGGGCATGTGCCCTGACTGGGAGTCGAACTGATCACCTTTTGGAGCATGGGACCACGTCCAACCGAGCTACACTGGCCAGGGCTGATCATGACGTGTTTCTGAAAGTAATAAAGTCAACCTGAGGAGGGGTTTCCAGAAAGTTCTTCCTCTTCCCATAACCTTTATTTTTAATTTAAAAAAAAAATGTTTTTACTGATTTTTTTTTTTTTTTTTTTGAGAGAGAGAGGAAGGGAGAGAGAGGTCGAAACATCGATGTGTCTCCATCATAGGCCACCTCCTGCACGCCCCCCCCTGGGGATTAAGCCAGTAACCCGGGCATGTGCCCCGATGGGGAATTGAACCGGGACCTCTCAGTCCCTGGGCCGACGCTCTACCACTGAGCCACACCGGCCAGGGCCTTTTATTTTTAATTTTCATCGACATTTGCAACTTTTCCCGGGAAATGAAGATTAGCCCGGAACGCATCCATTCAACCTAAGTCAGTAAGACCCACAGCCCGACGGGAACAGCCCGGCTCTCGGGAAGAAGGACATGCATGAGAGCCCCGGCGAGGAGTTCAAGACGGCACGGAACTCCTGACGACGAAGAAACAGTCACCAGGAGAGGCTCATTTCTCCCGCTTTGAACGAAGAGTGACTGTGTTACCAAGCATGCACAGCTGAGGGCAGAGTTGACTAAAAATGATGTGGTTCAAGGTTCGCGGGGGCCCTCATCCATTCATTCACTCTCTGTGACTGCTCCCTCCCCGAGCTCAAAGTGTGCAGCCCTGGGAAGGACGGGGGACCTAGGCCTGCCCTCCCCCAGCTCGCTGTGCCCGCCAAAGCCCAACCACACTGCGCAGTCTGAGTGTGAGCCGTGCTCACCCAGTACGACTCCGAGATGACTGAAGCTCATGTTCAATCGGCCACCTGGACACCTGCTCTAGCCCAGGTTCCCTGGAAATAAGGATGTGAGGCAAAGCCCAGGCTGAGGCTTCATGGGGAGGTGCTATCCCAGGGCAACGAACGCGAGGGGGGAGGGGCAGGGAGGGACGAGGGGACAGTCACATATCAAGCTGGCCCCAGCTTCACAAAATAGTAGGGTGGTTGGCCAGGGGACAGCTTCCAAACAGGCCTTGTGGGAGCTGTCTGTCAGAAAGGGTGTGAGCTGCACCCCATTTCTCATTAGGCAGACCTCGGATGTATTTCGGGGTGATGTTACCTGCCCTGCCAGGCAGCTAGACACTGGGAGGCTGGGTACCTAGCACGGCCTGAAGTGGAGAGAAAAGTCCCAGCTTCCCAAGTTCTGCTGGGTTTGCAGCTCCCACCTGTGTGGGAGCAGGTGAGGCCCAAGGGCGGGGGGTGGAGCCCATCCAGGGAGCCACATGTCAAATCCAGTGTAGTATCGGTGCACGTGGTTGGTGGTCGATGGCATCAACTACTGGAACTAATGATAATGCTTGCAAAGCACCCAATTCCCTCAGCTTTTTTTAAGTCCTCCATTCGAGTGGAGCACCTCTGCTAGTGGAGACGCCGGTTAACAGCTTCAGCTGGGACGCAGTTTGGTTTCTAAATGACGTATGCGACGGGTTCCCAGGAGGCTTCCAAGAAATAGCTACTGCGTCCTGGGCCTTGCAGGCTTGACGGTCAGACACTGACCCCGTGGAACCCTTTCAAGATCCTCCTTAAAGATCTGTCCACACAGAACGTCCCCGGGCCACAAAGTAGCCAGTGTTACTCCCATCATTCATGTGACGGAACAGGGACCCCGAGGGGTTCCAGGCCAGAAAGGGGCCCAGGCAGAACTCAGACCGCACCTGCAGGACGCTCTGCACAAGGTCCCAAGCTCCCAACCCTGTGTCCTGACTCCAATGCACGTGGTAACCTGGTCTTCCTCTCCCCACCCACCCTCCCACAGACACGTCCTCTCCCCGGCCAGGCTGACCTGCGTGTGGTTCAGGTGTGACCGTCACTGTTGCTCTGTGTCCCCCAGGGTACTCCACAGGCTGTGGCAGTTGCAGCGAGTTCTGCCCTGATCCCTGGGAACTGGCCCAGCCTTGGCTTTCGGGCTGGTGGGAAGGAGAGAAGGAAGCACAGGATCCTACAGAGCGGGCGGGTGGACTCAGGTGCACTGGGCTGAGCTCCAAAGCAAGCCAAGCCGCGTGGGAACCGAAAGGGCCGTGACCCCAGGTGCACAGCTGTGTGCCCACGGAAGCCACGGAAGCCACAGAAGCCACGGAAGCCAGTGCCTCCGAGTGCCTCCCTCCTCACAGCATCTCAACACCAAGATGTCGGTGAGCGTGTTTATTTGTTTTTTTGGTTTGGAAGAAAATGTTGCTTAAGGAGAAGAAAGGACAGAAATGTGCCTACTGAGGTCAAGACTTGAAAGAGTCTTCCATTTCAACCCCCGACTAGAGGGTGATCTAGCTGGCCCCGAGCGCACCCCAAGATGGGGTGGCTCCCCAAGTCCTGGGCTCTCCTAATTTCCAGTTTAAACTTCCTCAAAGGTTCTGAGGCAGGTCTCTACCAGTTACCTCGGGCTGGACTTTTCCCATGACAGCAAAGAAACCGGTTCCTAATGACACGCGGCGGGCGGGTAAGAAGGGGGTGGGGGAGAAACCTGAGCGCCCGTGACAACCTGCTATGTGCCAGGCTGTGCCACAGATGTTCAGTCCTCAAGGGCTCAGAACACACCTAGGAGGGAGCTGCTACTCACCGGGTCTCCCAGACAGTAACTGGTGCAGTCATCCTGGGAGCCAGGTCTTTCTACCTCCACACTGAGACTCTGCACCAAAACACACGGCCCCGGGTGCGGGGCACCAGGCACGTTCCTCTGTGGGTTCCGCCGTCCCAGCAGCTTCCTCCCTCCCACACTTACCTTGTGTTTCAACTCACACTGCCTTTGATTACTACAAAGATGACATATCTTTTGTTTATTGATTATCTCTCTCTATTTTTTTTTTTATGAATTGCCTTTTCAGGCTTTTTGCCTATTTTTCTAGTGGGGCGGTGCTTGTCATAGTTCTTAGTGATTTGTAAGCACTCTTTACATATTTAGGCAACAACACAGTATAAAGCTCTGTTTGTGATCATCTAACCACAGGGACTGAGAAGGCAGAGGTGCCTAAGAAGGTGTCTGCCTGTGTTTTAGAACATTTTAATTACCGAATAGTGTTTTTAATGTTCCCTCTTGGACAAACGACTTTTTAGCATATTGAGAACTCTATGATAACTGTTTACGGCTTAGTGATATTTAATCCAGAAAAATAGTTTGATTTATTAAATAAGTGTTTAAACCAGTGGCAATTAGACCTGTACTCCTCTGAGTGGGCCCTGGAAAGAAAAAAAGACACTAATGAAGTAAGACATTACCATAGGTACCGGGACCAAACTCTTCTCAGAGATGGGATAGCTATGTTGGGATAAAGGGGAGTTTTTTTTTGGGGGGGGGGGCAGGGCTATTATAAGGTCATACATTGAATGCATGTCCCTTAAAGTATACTCATACTGCCCCAAACAGAGTCTACCTTATGACTGCCACCGCGCCCTGGTGACAAGCCACTAGAAAACGCAATGTGCGGTGAAGCCAGATTTGCGCTCAATTCCATTCCTAGTTGGTCTCTCCAAGGAGCGTGATCCTGGGAGGAGACACACCTTCCCTTGGCCCAGGAAACGAAGAGGAAAAGAGATGACTAATACACTCTTCAGCTTTACAGGCCAAAAAAAAAAAAAGAAGTATCAGAACTAACGACAGAAACCAAGCTCAGTGTGCCAGGGGCGAGAATGATCGGAGCTCACTTATCACTCAGCTGCTTTAATTACTTCATAAACCCAGGTCTTATCTGAGATTTGAAAGTATTTTACTCAGCACACCACTGGAACTGAGTTGGCTCTTTTGGTCAGCCTTAAAATATAGAACATAAAACTCAATAGAATGGCCTAGAGCCACCGAAAGATGGCTTTAAAAAAAAAAAAAAACCGCACACACAACCAAGCAGTTAAGTTGCAGAGATTTGAGGGGGCTGGAAGGCACACCGGACACGCAGCACCTCACCCCGGAGGGCTCAAAGCCTCTGAAGAGGAATCAGGACAGGCCCTCTCTGGGTGCCACATGACCCCTGACATCGAGGGGCCACCCCACCAGTGGGATGAACCACACCTTCAGCCCTGATGACACCGGCAGCACAGCTCCCTGCAGGGCCAAGTTGTACAAACCGTCCTACCTCCGAGGGGCTGAAGGGAAATGCATGCGGCGACACACTGAAGACCGCACCCTGCTCCCCCAAATTCCAGTAGGTCACAGCAGGTCGGAGCCAGAAGCTACCGGAAGATTTTATTCCATTCCTGTCTCATAGCCAAAGACCCTGACTCTAACCAGGCCCAGGGATGGACACCGGCCTGCTCAGGACTTAATTCGGGGCCACCCCTAGACAGTCTCCCTTGTGTCACAACTCACAGAAGGAGAGAAACAAAAAAATTTCCAAATCGCTTTTCTGATCATGATCTAGTAGCCCAAATGTTTTGTTTTGTTTTTCCCTTTATTGATTTTACGGAGAGGGAGAGAGAGATAGAAACATCGATGGGAGAGAGAATCGATCAGCCGCCTCCTGCATGCCCCACACTGGGGATCAGGCCCACAACCTGGGCATGTGCCCTGACTGGGAATCGAACCGGCGACCTCTTGGTGCCTGGGTTGACGCTCAACCACTGAGCCACACCAGCCAGACTAGTACCCAGAATGTTTTAAGAACTCTTACAATTCAATACGAAAAGACAAACAACCCGATTTTAAAAGGGACACAAGACTTGCATAGACATTTCTCTAAAGAAGATGCATGGCCAATGAGCACAAGGGAAGATGCTCGGCGTCATCAGTAACCAGGGAAACGCAAACCAAAACCACAGGGAGAGGCCACCTCCCGCCCCGAAGGATGGCTAGAAAACCAAGCAATGGAACTAGAACGAGCCCCCACGAGGAATGAATCCTCCGCGCTGGTAGGGGTGTGAAGCATCGGGCCACTGGGAACACGGCCTCACAGATCCTCAGAGTTAAACGCAGAATTACCCTGCGGCGCAGGAATCTGTGCACCTGGGAGAGTGGAAAACACACGTCCGCATGGCACACGCACAGGGATGCTCGCAGCAGCACCAGTCTGTGCGCTGAGCAGACGCCACCCCGCTGCCCGTCGGCCGACGGAAGGATGAACGGACGCGGTACGGACGCAGTGGATCGGAGTTGTCACCAGGAAGGAAGGAGAAACGCCACAGGAAGGACGGGCCTTGAATACACTGTGCTGCTCCAAAGGAGCCACGCAAAGGACCACGCGTGGTGTGACTTCACTCACTTAAAATGCCCAGAAGAGGCAAATCCATAGAGACGGAAAGTCGGTTCGGGGTCCCCAGCGGCCGGGAGGGGCTGCAGAAGGGGGGTGATGCTTCGGGGTACAGGGTATCCCTTTGGGAGACAAAAACGTTCTAGAACTGGACAGCGGCGGAGGTAGCACAACACTGGGAATGTTCTACCGCCGCCTTTGAAATGGTGAAAACAGCCAAGTTTGTATTATGTGAATTGTCCCTTCATTAAAAAAAAAAAACAGAAAACAGAAACCGACCAGAAACACTTGTTAAAGAAATAGAGTGGACAGCCCTGGCCAGTTTGGCTCAGCGGTTAGAGCGTCAGCCTGCGGTCAGGAGAGACCCGGGTTCAGTTCCCGCTGAGGGCACGTACCTCGGTTGCAGTTTGTCCTGGTTGGTCGTGCGGGTGGCAGCCACTCGATGTGTCCCTTTCACGTCGATGTTTCTCTCTCTCTTCCTCTCCCTCCCTCCCACTCTATCTGAACAAAAAATGGAAAAATGTCCTCGGGTGAGGATAAAAAAAAAAAAAGAAAGAAATAGAGTGGATGAAAGGGCTGAAATGCAAAAGTCACAGAACCCCGAGCCTCTGACCTTGTCTGTCCGGGTTGCGGACCTGGGACGGCATGTCCTGGATCTCCAATGTCCACTCCCCCTCCGCCTTCTCTCCCCAGCAGTGCACCGTCATGAACTCCCAGTTTGAAAAGCCTTCGTTGGAATGGTCCAGCAATCTGCAAGGGGACAGGGGTCAGTACGCGAGGGGCTGAGGGGGGGGGCGGGGGGGCCAGTCCGCGGAGCGCCCGGTCCTCCGGCCCCTAAGGCTGCAGGTGTGAGAACAGCCCACAGCAGGGGCGAAGATGTAGGTGAGATTCTGACCGAATCCACGCTCTTGTTACGACCCCGCCCTACACGGCTCCCTTCCTGGACCGCACAGGAAACTGAGGCAGGCCTCACAGGGCCCTGTCCGTGGGGTCCCCTCCCTCCCACCCTGTTTTACAGAGAGATCCCAGGTGTAGTGACCTGTTAGACTCACTGGAGGACACTGTGACTCCGTCCCTGTCTGTCCATCACCAGCAGGTCACGAACAAACACCCTCCCCTGCCAGGTTCCCTCAGAAGGTGTTTGGTCCCTTCCCACCCCAGGGGGGCCCCTTTGTCCTTCCGGGAGCCCGGGAGCCCGGGGCCTGGATGCGCCAAGGCGGACAGAGGCCGGCAGGGGACTCCCTCAAAGCCCCAAGAGCATCCCAGAGGAGCCTGTCTAAGCTGATCTGAGGGAGGAAGGAACCTGCCGTCTGTCTCAGGGCCTGCTCTCCTGTGCTGCACAGAAGGAAAATGTCCAACCCGAGCTGGGGAACCGCTGTCCCTTCATCTCTGGGGCTTCACGGGTTTTAAGAGTGGCACTGGTTGGGGGGAGGGTGGCTGTTTCTCAGAGTGGGCGGGAGGCACCCCTGGGTGGCGTGGGGGGTCTTCCTGACTGGGCCTTCAGCCCTGGGCCGTTTTCTCCGTTGCTTTGAGCAGAAACAGGCAGCAACTCAAGGGTACCCGCTGTCTTCCCTCCTTAGAAGGAGCAATTCCAAGTTCTTCCTCCTTACTCTGTCTTCCCAGTCCAATTTCCTAGCTCTACTTTGGAACCTTTTTTTAAAAAAAAACAAAACAAAAACATAGGGGCTCTACTGTTCATCAGAAATTCAGATGTAAATGTTTTCTGTGACGTAAGACTCGATTCTCAGTTGGGGCTTGTCTGAGGTCCAATGTATGAAAACGCTCATCCAGGGAGCCTTCTGTAGCCAGGGCGGGGGGACACCCCTACTTTCTTCTAAGAAACTGCAGAGGTCAGGCTGATGGTCACGCGTGATGCCAAGCAGAATCTGGGCACTGGGGACAGAACGGTCTTTCAAGGGCTGAAGCACTTACGAATGTAAACTCACACTCGGAGTGAACAAGAGCCTGGCAAGGTGAGCGAGCTGGGTGGACGTGAAACGGGGTAGAAGGGAACAGATGCTGTGATCACACGATCTGCCTGGGGGCAGGGGAGGCGAATTCCCAGGCTCAGGTGACTGCCAAGGGGGGGTTTCCAGTGCTCATGGCGCAGCACCACCCAGCCAAGGGGGTGGACGGTGAACCCCCAAGACCCACTCTCCAAGAACCCAGGGGCTCCAACGCTGGGCGGAGCAGGACGGAAATTAGGGGGAAGGAGAACAGAGCAGGGGACGCTGGGGTGCTGGAAGGTTCTGGAAGCTCAAGCAGATAATGTGAGCAGACAGAAGGACAGCCGGCTGCCTGTGGTAGGGACTGAGTCCAGTGTTTACATCTATCCCGTCACATTCGGCTCCTGTCACTTCCCTGACGATGACAGAGAAGCATTTCCAGAGGTGAGGAAGAGAGGGGTGGCCGGCTCTGGGGTGCCCGTGAAGGTGCGGGGTGTCAGTGTGAGTCTAGGCTCCAATGCCCACGCTGTCCTTTGTGGGCCCAGATACCCCACGATCTACCACCTGCCCCCGCCCCGCGAGGCCAGCCTGGCCTTGCTTACCTCTTTGCCAAAAGCTGAGACTTGGTTCCCAAGGGGGAGATCAGGTGGATCTGGAGGTCCCCGCGGCGCGGGTGGGAGATGGAGATCCGGGCCACCACGTGCTCCAGGAAGCCCACGCGCTGGTCCGAGTGGTCGGCGCAGGCGCTGGTCCGGGCGGTGGTCCGCAGCGTCTGCACCACCGGGATGCTCCTGGGAGGGGAGGCGGGAGTCAGCACTGGGGTGCCGGGTCCCCCAGGGAGGGCTCCGCCCCCTTACGGGACCCTGTCAGATGACACTGCTTGAGTTATGGCTCCTGCCCAGAAGACATTTGTCATTCTGCAATTTGCTTAGAGAGATTTAAAGAACGGCTTCGCGCCCGGCTGGGTGTGGCTCCATTTGCTGGAACGCTGTCCCCTGCACCGAAGGGTTGAGGGTTCGATTCCCAGTCAGGGCACATACCCAGGGGGCGGGTTCAATGCCTTGTTGGGGTGCGTACAGAAGGCAACTGATTGATGTTTCTCTCTCTCTAAAATCAATGGTGGGGATTAAAAAAATAATAATAATAACTTCTTGTGCAGACGCAGCTAACATACCCAGGGATGGGCCTCCTCCTTCTCAACTATCTGGGGTTTGCAAGACTTTAAAATCCCACCACTTTGCCCTGGCCGGTTTGGTTCAGCAGTTAGAGTGTCGGCCCGCGGACCAGAGAGTCCCGGGTTCGGTTCCCACTAAGGGCAGTTTGTCCCCAGCCCGGTTGGGGTCGTGTGGGTGGCAGCCACTCGATGTTTCTCTCTCTCTCTTCCTCCCTCTCTCCCTCCCGCTCTATCCGAAGATGAAAAATGTCCTCGGGTGAAGATACAAATAAATAAAATAAAATAAAATCCCACTACTGTGTGTCAAAAACTGGCCTTGAAAACCTAAGTCACAATGCTGAGTAATAAGAACAGATTTCCCAAGCTGACCGCAGGCTGGACACTGGTCTGAGAACTGACAAGGATTAACCCATTTAATCCAGAGAGATCAAGGGTCGTGTCCAAGATCACTCAGTCACTGAGAAGCAGAGCTGGGATTTAAGGCTCCAGAGTCCACACCTCCACCTCTTGCCTCATGGTCCTGCCAAGATGCTCGGGGTCGGGGGGTTTGGGGGTGGGGGGGGTCCACCCTTGTGTTCAAGATGCCGCAAAAGAGACGGACAAGCACCCGGGGCCAGAACTGGCCTCTCATGCTAAATGCCCTGGTTGATGCACTATGACAGGACCAGAGTCCCAGAGGACACACAGCTCATCTGCTCCCCAATGTCTGCATTGAGACTGGGGTCCCCTCCCTCTCCCGCCCTTCGATGGGAATGCAGTTCCACCATCTAGGATGGAATCAGGGACAAGCCCCAAGCCGTCACAAGTCGGTTCCACCAGAATGTTCTAACACAGGCCCCAGAGGAAGCAGACACAAGCCTGGCCCTGGGTGCTGTTCCCGTATCCGACCGGGGCCACCTGCCTGTCCAGGGCCACTGCAGCTGCCCCCAGGACCTGTTATCTGAACAAAGGTCCTGTGGCCGCCCAGCAGCGTATCCTTGGGTCCCCACTGCTCAGTCAGCACGCAGTCGCTTTTCCCTGTGATGCTGGATTTCCCTTTCGGGAGGGGAGGTTTGAGGTCGAGGTTCGACAGCCCCTGGGAATTACATCGCTTGGCTCTGTGGGGCCTGAGTCATAAGAAACACTCAAAAACAGTTAAAAAACAGTGATGTAATTCCCTCGGAGACTGTAACAACTTGAAAACATGATTTGTACCCATCATAAACTGATTTAGAGGCTGACTTCCTTCACTGCCCGCTCTCAAGTTTTACTGTCTGCTCCGGCGGTCAGCAGGCCCGCCGTGACACAGAGCAGAACAGAAAGCTCTGGAGTGTTCTGGGGGTCCAGGCCCGCGGGGCCACAGACGTAGGTCCCAGGTAAAGGCTTCCCCACCCCCCTGCACCAGGAAGGCTCTGGGGCTGCAGGGAGGGGCCTCCTCCGTGTGAAGTCTTACTAAGAGTACACACCCTCTGCTTGCACACTCCGAACACATTTCTGGGCCCAGAGGAACATCAAGGCCACGGGAAGAAACCCTCCACCGCTCCACCTGTCTTTCTGCCCTCGCTGGAAGTCACCCCAAATCCACAGAGTCGGCCCTCTGTATCCGCGGGCTCCGCATCCAGGTGCAAAAATGAAGCAAAGAAAAGTTACTTTGTTGCTGACAGGTGCTAGGCAATCACACCGGCTGCGTGTGCATCTACACTGAGCACTGCCCACCTCTCTTCCTGTCCTCCTTCCCTGAACAGTGCAGCAGAACAACTGTTTACATGGCACGACAGTGTGTTAGGTCCCAGAAGTGGTCTAGACATGACAAAGTATGCGGGAGGGTGTGTGTAGGTTCCATGCAAATACATCGTTTTATAAGACCTGAGCATCTGTGGGTTTTGGCAACCGCGGGGTGGGGTGGGGTTCTGGCACTGATCCCCCGTAGATACTGAGGGATGATATTTCTCACCCCCCACCCTGAAGACTTCTCTCCGGCTCAGCTACGGGGGCAGACCTGCGCCCTGGCACAGGGCACTCCTGGGGCACTGGTGTCTTACCGGAGGGTAGCACGTGACCTGGGCTCAGTTTCCCATCGGACAGGCTGAGCAGGAGACCCACCAGCGCTGGAAGGGGGCAGCGTCTGTCTGCACAGCCTAGGACCACGCCAGTGCCCTCCGGTAAGACACCAGTGCCCAGGAGAGCTCTGTGCCAGGGTGCAGGTCTGCCCGTGTGGCTGAGCTGGAGAGAAGTCTTCAAGGTGGGCGGAAGATCAACCAGGAAACCCTTTCAGACCTGCTAGAGGGAGATGATGGAGTGGACGGGGGCTGACAGGGACAGACTTGTTCAGACTTGTTCGGTTCAACGGTAGGAAAGCGACCCGGTCCCTTGTCGCGCGCAGATCTATACGGGGTTAGCAAGAACCCCCTGCGTCGCTTCTTAGATGTGTGTTGTAGGAGGAACATTCTTGGAAGGTGGCTCATTGGACTCAGAGGAAAACAGATTTATGTACTTTCTCATTTATATTAGTCCACATTTAGAATTTCCCTTAGATGAAATTACTTTTGATTATCAAACTGTAGTACATCATTTAGACTGGAAATACATTGTAATGAAAAGAAAAAAAAAGCAGGTAAATTAATTTAGACACTGCTGTCCATGATTACATTATAGGTGTTAAGGCCTGGCTGGGTGGCTCAGTGGTTGGAGCGTCATCTCCTACACTAAAGGATTGATTTGGATTCCCAGTCCGGGCACATACAGGAGGCAATTTATCAATGTTTCTCTCTCCCTTCCTCTCTTGAAAACATATCCTTGGGTGAGGATTTTTAAAAAAGGCATAAATGTTTAATGCACAATGTTTAAATGTATTACATGTATTTTCTTCTCTGAGAAAGGAGGAGCAAAGTTAGCTGGCTTTAAACCTTCCTCCCAATTCAAGAAGCAATCTGATGGGGAGGAAAAGGAGACAGTAAAACACAGAGTCGATTCTTATTCTCCACAATCTGGTATCTGCAAACTCACCCACTCACACTGATCTGTGACCCCCAACCCGAAGCGTGTGGTGTGTCTGCGGTCACCTGTGGGCACACCCAAAGCGGTGAGCTATGTGAGCTGCTCAGTAAACACGTTCCAGCGGAGGTGGGACAGGCGACTTGGCCTCTTTGTCTTCGCTCTCACACCGTGGACATGTGTGTACTTTTGTGGTCTATTTAGTGCGGGGTTTTCCATGTTTTTGTGCTTTTTGTGGGTGGTCTCACTGTTTAAAGGACCCTGGAGCCTAGTGCTACAGTGATGTCCTGTGCTGTCCCCTAAGAGCAAGAAGCCGTGAGGTGTCCTCACCTGGGTGCCTAGCTCACCTGCTGCAGATGACACACCAGGGCCTGGCCCCTCCAGTGCAGGCAGGTGGCCAAGGTCATCACGTCACCAGGTGCTTTCCCATCCCCAGTCCCCAGCTGACCAGGGACAGGAGGGAAAGGAGGAAATGCCTTCTGGGGACACGCAGGCCACGCTGCTCGGCTCGGTACTGCCTGAGTTCCTGTGATGTGTTCCTTCCCGAGGGACAAGGTGGACTGGGGACAGGCAGCCTGGGGTGGCAGCCCAGCCCCGCATCCCAGCCCCTGGCTGTTTCTTATTTCCTTGTGCCTCAGTTTCTTCCTCTGTAAAATGGGGGTAAAAATCATGCCCCAAACTCATACTCTAGTTGGGAGTTTTGAATGAGTGACCGATCACACAGCAAGTCCTTGGAAGGAAGCCGGACAGACACACAGGAAGTGCCTGGTAACCGTTCGCCATTTACTTGTCTGGACTTCCACAGTTGTTAGCAAAGGGCCATCACACGGGGTCTGATGCATGAAACACCAGAACAGGAAGCAGTAAGTGATTGGCCCTGGTTCATTCTGTTTTCTGTGGTTAATCCTCACCCGAGGATCTTTTTCCATTAATTCTTAGAGAGGAAGGGAGGGAAGGGGGGAGAGAGAGAGAGAGAAAAACATGGATGTGAGAAAGACACATCGATTGGTTGCCTCCTGCACGACCCCAGCGGGGCCCCACGGGCCGGCGCTCTAACCACTGAACCACACCGGCCAGGGCAAGCCTGGTTCATTCCTGAACATCTCTACACAGATTGTGTGCTGCACAGATGGTCCTTAGTATTCAAAGTAGCACGTCTTCAGTGCTTGTAGAATGGAAGACTCTGTGTGTGGGGGGGGTGCACATGTGCTGGAAATATAGGTGAGCCACGTCATACAGCAAACTGTGTGTGGGGGGGGGGAGTGCGCGTGTGTGTGCTGGAAATATAGTCGAGCCACGCCGCACAGCAAACTCTGTGTGTGTGTGTGTGGGGGGGGGGTGCGTGTGTGCTGGAAATATAGGTGAGCCACGTCATACAGCAAACTGTGTGTGTGGGGGGGGAGTGCGCGTGTGTGTGCTGGAAATATAGGCGAGCCACGCTGCACAGCAAACTCTGTGTGTGTGTGTGTGGGGGTGCGTGTGTGCTGGAAATATAAGCGAGCCACGCCGCACAGCAAACTGTGTGTGTGTGGGGGGGGTGCGTGTGTGTGCTGGAAATATAGGCGAGCCACGCCGCACAGCAAACTCTGTGTGTGTGTGGGGGGGGTGCGTGTGTGTGCTGGAAATATAGTCGAGCCACGCCGCACAGCAAACTCTGTGTGTGTGTGGGGGGGTGTGCACGTGTGTGTGCTGGAAATACAGGTGAGCCACGCCGCACAGCAAGCTGTGTGTGTGCGGGGGGGTGTGCACGTGTGTGTGCTGGAAATACAGGTGAGCCACGCCGCACAGCAGGTAACCCTTCCAAACCTGCTACAGGTCAAGATGAGCAGGTCAATTCTTGTCGCTTTAAAAGTTGGTGCCTTGCCCGGCTGGTGTGGCTCCGTGGTTGAGCGTGGACCCATGCACCGAGAGGTCGCGGGTTCGATTCCCGCTCGGGGAATCAGTCCGGGCCAGAATGGCTGACACATTGCTGGGGGTCCCTGGACGGCCTTCAAGTTCGGAGGCTCGGGATCAGCTGCCTCCTGAGGAGGCCCACTCGTGTCTGTGAGGGCAGCCTCCCCCCTTCCCGCGGCCCTTCTCCTGCCGAGCTGTCAGCCTCTGGCTCCTTTCGGCCTACGTGGGCCCCCAGGACAGGTCAGAACACACTGCGCAGCCCAGAGGACAGAGCGGTCCCACGGCAGGACACCGCGGGCACCTGAGTGGTCATTCTGGGCAAAACACGGGTGTCTGAGCACAGGTGGGGGCCGCAGGCAGAACCTGCACGGGTGGCCCACTGACTCCTCCGGGAATGGCCCTGAGGACGGTCTCCCTAAACCGCGACATATCCCAGGAGAGGGAGGCAGAGCAGGCTGCGCGTGGGGAGAGGGCACCGAGGGGTCACTGCTCTTCCTTCCTGCCCCTGCATGTGACCTTCACCGCCGGGGACCTTCAACTCAGAGCCCGGCACGACGGCAGAGCCGGCTGGCGTGGCCACGATGCTGCCCAGGACGCCCACTTAGCGATGGCGGGGCTCAGCTGCCTGACCTTCCTCATACCAGACAGAGAGGTCCCGTCTCTCTCTGTTCTACAGGAAGCAGCTGCGGCAGGTGTGGGACCTTCAGAGAGACCTCGGGTTACACCACGAGAAGGGGAGCCCGGAACGAGGGCAGCAGGACAGAGCAGCACACGCAGAGGGCGGTGCGGACAGGAACAGCGGGTGTGTGCGAACACTTCTCACGTTGGAGGCAAATGGTCCAGCAGCTTAGGCCAAGCTGGGCAAGGACCCCGAGGAAGGAGACTGGCCTTCAGCTTTGGGGGTGCTCAGCAGCCTGGCTCAAGGACCCTGACAGGCAGGCCAGGCATTGTGCTAGGAGACAAAGCCCAAAGGCGGGAAGGAGGCGGCGTCACCTCCCAGGTGGTCTCTCTCCTGCTCCCCCCACCGCCCCGAAGCCCTGTGACCTTGGGAAACTGAGCGGACATCCAGGCAGGTGGTTTGGCACAGCAGGTTGGCCGAAGTCTCCAGAAGACGCTGAATCCGCTCAACGTCAAGATGATTTTTTTCTTTGAGAGAGAAGCCTGCTTCTTCCCTCTCTTGGAATCGGCGGAGTCCTTCCTGTCCTCAAAGGACAGGAACAATGTCATGCTGTGTGTCACGGCGGGTCCCCCCCCAACCTGTGCTGTCACTTAGAAAAACAAATAAAGTAAAAATACAAACAGCCCTTTGCCGCCCAGGCACCACTCTTCCATCTTAAAACTATTTCTGGCAGGAGAAAAATGCTCCATTCAGGAGATGCCCTGGTGGGAGACCAGCAGGAGGGTCACGGCCGCCGCGGCAGACGCAGCCCTCGGGCCGCACCAGCTCCCAGGAGCCCAGCATCACCTCACCTGCACTGTGACTGTCCACCTTGCGCACATTTCCCAACAGACGAAACAGAACACAGGGACAGGCTTTGTTCATCTCGGAGAGCCTCCCACTGTCTTCCGAATATGACAGTCTAAGGCTCCCCGGAGGGAGGATGCTTTAAAAATCCCAAGATGGACACTTGTCTGCTCGCCAGCCAGCGTGCCAGGCCCCAGAGGGAGCCCCCTGCGTTAGTCTTCACAATTAGCAGCAGGATGGAAATTAATAATTCCAAAGATCCTTCCATGGCTATTCGTCCAACAAAAGCTTTCTGAGTTCCTACCGTATGCCAGGCACCGGCGAGAAACCCTTTCCTCAACATTTTCTAGCAAAAGATACTATTATAAGAGGTAGATGTTGAGGAGGACGCCATCTCGAAGACAGGGAATCTAGACTTGTTGATAAAGCAGAGGCCACATTTTATCGCCCATCTTTTCTTTTTCCAAACACACATTTCCCCAAAGGTAATAAACAGTGACAGCTAGGGAAAAAGGCATCCCGTCCTTTCTCAGATACTGGGGACTAGAGAAACCTTGTTCTCCTCCAAAAGGATGAGTCCCTCTTCTCGTGGACTGGGGCCCTTGCTCTCTGATTCACTTTACAGCTGATTTTTGTAAAATAAAAATGTGAGTCAACAAAGTCGCTGATTGGGAACAAATGCATACAGGGGGGGAGTAAGGCGTGTCCTTACCATGGACCACAGGGGCAGCAGGGTCTCGCTGTGGCACCCTGCTTGAGGCTTGTAAAAAAAATATCCCAGTGCTGACACCTTGGGAAGTGACCCAAAGCTGCTCTGCACTTCGGGTAAGAAACCCCCCTCCTGTAACAGGCGAGGGACAGAGGCTGTCAGCCCCGTCCCTGCGGACGGGCTGGGCGGGGGCTGCGGCTCCAACCTCTGCTGGGGGACAACCGAGAGGACACTCACTGTGATTACACCCCACTGGGCAGGACAGGTCCCCGGTCAGGTCAGCTCGACTGAATATTACAGAGAAGAATTTCCAATCAAAGCCTGCGGGTCCAGGCTGAGGGACTGACTCCCCGGAACGGAGAATTCGCTGACAGAAGGGGACACCATCATGCAGGGCAGAAGGCTGCCACGCAGTCGTGGTTAACAAATGCTCTTCCTCCAGCCTCACAATCCACAGCAGCAAGTGTGCGTCCCCAGGGATGTGCGCAGGAGCGCGTGTGAACGCTGCCCCGAAAGACCTTACCGCAGAGTCAAGGTCAAGGCCAAACCTGAACGGCCACGTGGTCTGGCGCCGAGCCTCACCTGGGCCTCTTGTCAGTGACGGCGACACACATGTGCTGGGAGGGTACTGCTGTCCACTTCTTCGCCTCCAGGACAAGGGCTTCTGCGTCCACCAAGCCAAACCCGTACAGATGGCTAACTGGAAAGACAGGGCCTTCAGAACTGCTCCCTCCAGGCCTCCCAACACCCACATACTGCTTGGCTCCAGCAGAGGGCGCCTGACCCATGACCTCCAGGGTCCTGGGACAGGCCACCTGTGTTATGCAGGGCTGGAAGGTCCCAGACTCTCCCAAGAGCCCCAGGCAGCAGGACAAACCCTCCTAAGGATTGCTCCAAAGTCCCCTTGCTCAATTCAATCTCAACCTCAGGCCAGAAACTGTCCCACTTAGGGGCGGAGTAGAAGGAAGATGGAAACGGGTTCGTGTGCCTTTCCCTGGATCTTAAACCAGAGGGAAACGACCCGAGACCCCCTGGTTGGTCCCTTGCTTCCTCTCCTTTGCCATTTAGTTGCCCTGCTGCATCGCAGGGCATTCGGGGACAGTGGCACCGACCGGGAGTACTTGTGAACAGGCCCAGGCCAATGTTGAACTTGGCCAGTGCGAGAGTGTTTCAAAGTTTAATTTAAGAGGCACGGTTGAGAACCAGATACAATCTATTTTCCTATTTAATTAGGCCAAAATTGAAATGTAGGTCAGCTCTTGTTACGGTGCAGCCTGCCACCAACATTCCTGTAGAACAAAGATGCATCGGGTGCCATCAGTGGCCTCCTTATGAAAAGGAGCGTCCCGGGAAGGCTTGGCAATAATGCTCGACCTATATCTTACAAATTGTGGCATCAGGCTTGGTGTCGAAATATTTGGACTTGAGCTTCAGAAAAGGAAAAACAAAAAAACAAAAACAAAGCAACCTTCCCTAACATACCATGACTGAATTCAAATCTTTTTCAAGTATCTCTGGTAAGAAGCCAGAGAAACAAAGCCAGTGGCAAACTCCTATAATTACCTGCCTGAGAGGCTCCAAATATCTGTGTTAACAGCCCTTGACCATGGGTTGATTTCAGGGCACCTGGGTCTCTATCCTCCCAGAACAGGTTGTTCTCAACCTGTTCTGGGAGTAGAGAGCTCACTGTTCTATGAGTTACTTTTGTAACACAGGGGATTGCCGACAGAAGTTTCGTAGTTAGAAAGTAACTTACACAGCTATCTCAATGTTCTCATTGTCTGGATGAGGAAGTGGAGGGCTGTTTCAAAATCATAGAGCTGCTCGGGGCTAAGGATGCAAGTTGTTCTTAGGGGGCAGGTAAACAAACATTTTTTTGTCATAATAATTATGGATTTGTTTTCATGTGCATTAGGAAAAATATGACTCCATATCAAGCCCATGGTTAACTAGATGGAATCAAGTTTCCTCTTAAAATATGTTTCTTCATAAAAAAATAAAATAAAAAAAAAGAGGCAAATCATTTGAAAGAGACCTATTCAGTCAGGTCCCTGGATGTGGCCAAAGTCGTGAAGTCTGGAGCACCCTGAACTCTAGTGACCTTAGGCGTCTTCCTTACTGCCTGCCAGTTTGAGGGTCCAGGACACTTCTCTTACATCGCTGGATACATTCTTTCTGTTCTTGTGACACAGTTTGTGTTCATTTGGGATTCTTTTGGAGAAAGCCTGTCACCTCTTACACAGATTCCAGGAGGTCCCCCAGAGGGCCCACCAGGGCAGGGTGACCGCGATCGCCCCGCAACCCGGGAGCCCCGCACCTTTGTGACCAGCACCGTTGACCTTCCAGTCATTCGCTTTCAGGTGGGCTGGCCTGGATGTCTTCACCAGCAGGTGCTGCACGTCCCTCCAGGTCAACTGGCTGCTGCAATGACACAGGACAGACCGGTGTGACCCACACAGGTCAATACTGATGGCTACACGGATGCCTCTGGGGTCTGGACTCGAGGAAGCCCCAGAGGCTCCGTGCCTGGCTGAGGGATTAGTCCCCGTCAAAGGCCCGGATCCCCCCCACCCCCACCCCGTGTGACCCCACTGGCTCCAGATTGTAATGTGAGATTTTAATATTCCACACCTACAGAGCATTCGGGGACAACGGGGAAAGATGCATTCAAAGAACCCAAGCCCACTAATAAGAAACGCATAGGTCATATTTCTTTGATTTGAAGAGACATTTTCTCGCCTTTTTAACACTTTTGAAACCAGGGTCCAAGCTCTGAGGATGCACTGAACACCCTCCCCGACTGCAGCATCAGGACCGGGACCCACACAGACGCCCACCCCCAGCCACACTCGTCACAGCTGTTTCCGATCATCTACTCTTTGTTCGCGTGGGTTTAAAATACGCATAAGATAAATTTACCATCTTTTTTTTTTAATCCTCATCCGAGGACATTTTTCCATTTTTTGTACAGACAGAGTGGGAGGGAGAGAGAGGAATAGAGAGAGAGGGAAACATCGATGTGAAAGGGACACATCGAGTGGCTGCCACCCGCACGACCAACCAGGGCCAGGGACAAACTGCAACCGAGGTACATGCCCTCAGCGGGAACCGAACCCGGGTCTCTCCGGACCGCAGGCGGACGCTCTAACCGCTGAGCCAAACCGGCCAGGGCTAAATTTACCATCTTAACCGCATTCGTCCTGCTGTACAGCTGTGACCACCATCCATTTACAGAACGTTTTCATCTTCCCAAACTCAGACTCTGCTCCCATTAAAACCACCTCCCTCCCCCAGCCCCTGCACCCAACCATCTGCTCTGTCTATGGATTTGATGTTTCTAGGTCTCCCATACGCGTGGGATCACACCGTGCATGTCCTTTTGGGACTGGCTTCTTTCACTCAGCCAGTGCATGTCCTCAAGGTCCATCCACGTTATCACTTATGCCAGAATTTCCTGCCCTTTTAAGCCTGGGTGATACTCCATCGGGTGCATGGACCACATTTTGCTTCTCCACTCATCTGTGAATGGACACTTGGGTTGCTTCCACCTTCTGGCAACTATGAGTGATACTGCTATGAACACGGGGGTGCAAATCTCTCTTCGGGTCTCTGCCCCCAGTTCTTTGGGGCAGATGCCCACAGGCAGAGCTGCCAGGTCGTACGGGCCCTCGGGCTGCGGTTTCTGGGCCTGCCACACTGCCTTCCGTGGCGGCCATGCCACTTCGATTCCCAGCGACCGTCCCCTCTTCGCCCATCTCCTACTGGGAGTTCCCTTGCATCTCACAGTCTCCGGGCTCTGGCTCCGGCCTCCGCTAATTTCTCCAACATGTTCCTTCCACTGTGCCAGTCACTGGCTTCCTGGCGGCTGCACTGCAACCATGTCCTGAGGTCCACTTCCCTAACCTCTGCTGGGCGCAGACTAGTCTGCCCTCCTCCCCAGACACACTGCTCCTCTCAGCATTAGAGGAGGATTCTGACAGCCCGAGTGGCCCAAGGCCTCGCATTCTGGTGAAGTGGGCACAGGCTTAGGAGTTCAGACAGAACACACATGGCTGTGTCCCTTGTCGCCTGTGTGACCGCTCAAGCCGGCAGGGCCACCTCAAGGATGGCTAGAGCCAGTCCTGGACTGGGCCTGAGCTTCGGAGTGTGACAGGAGGGGTCCAGGAAGGGAGGACGTTAGAACCCACCGGAGGGTGAGGAAACCCACTTCATTCATGACTCTGGTAATAACATCACAAATACACGTTGTCTGGAAAACACATCTAAGAATTAATGTTGAAAATGTTTTCCATGGAAAGGGTTGATGGGGCCCTGGCCAGTTTGGCTCAGCGGTTAGAGCGTCGGCCTGCGGTCCGGAGAGACCCGGGTTCGGTTCCCGCTAAGGGCACGTACTTCGGTTGCAGTTTGTCCCCGGCCCTGGTTGGTCGTGCGGGTGGCAGCCACTTGATGTGTCCCTTTCACATCGATGTTTCTCTCTTTCTCTCCCTTCCTCTCTCTCCCTCCCACTCTATCTGTACAAAAAATGGAAAAATATCCTCGGGTGAGGATAAAAAAATAAAAAATAAAAAAATAAATAAATACATAAAAATAAAAAAGAAAGGGTTGATGGGAAGTCCCAAGACTGCACCAAACCGTGGGCGGCCGTAGGATGCTTCCTACGCAGGGGGGTCTCTCTTCAATCTTGTTACTACTTGCTGTTCACAGGCGCTCCCTAAGCCCCAACCCTTCTCCACCCAGGACGATCGGGCTCACCCTGCTTCTTGCCACAGCAGAAGTGAGCACAGCCAGACAGCTAAGCTTCCCCGAGATCCGCAGGCCTGGGGTCCAGACCCCTGAGCTCCCCCAACCGCCAAATCTCCGCTCAGGCCTGCGGGTCCCTGGTTGTAACTTGTTCCTTCCTGACTGACCCTATATGTGAAGTTGGAGCTGTTTTCCGTGAAGTGTGCTGGGTTTGCTACCTGCAAATTTCTGAGGATGAGCTAAAATGATGAGGAAAATGACTGTCCGAGTTTTCCTGGGTTCCCAGCCAAGCTCAATGGGACAATCTGGTACAAAACAGGGTGTGTTTTCTATTTAGTTTCGATGAACAGAATCTCTTGTATGTTTCCAATAAGGAATGGAAGAAAACGTAAAACAATGAACCGCTAAGTGTGTAAAAGCAACTTTCCACATACTTAACTAATTATTTAGAGTTTTATAAAAGAGCCTTAGGACACGGGAGCTAAGAGTTTGGCCCGAAAATCGAAAATATTTAGCCGTTCCTTTGTTAAATTGGTAGCGTTGGAGTTTTACGCCTTGTGGAGATCAACATGCCAACAGGCATAATTACAAGGATTTAAGCAACTCCAACATGACTTTCGAATCATTTAAAATCTCATCCATAACAAATGAGGGCTTCTGACGGCTGGGCTGTGCAGAGTGGTTTTGACATAAAAACTACAATTTGTTTCTGACGCCACAATTGCATTGCTGTGACCTCTCTTTTCCTTCTGACCCACCCACTTACTAGTAACTACGAACTCGTCATGTGCCTGACGACAGGTCAAGCATCACTCCTGCACGGTCGGTTTACGAATGAACGTTTAGGAAGGGTAGCAGCCGCTGGAACGGTGACCTTGCTTCATGATGCTTTAAAAGGTCTTTAAAAAGGAAAAGGGGAGCCCTGGCCGGGTGGTTCAGTGGTTGGAGCATCCTTCCCTGCACCAAAAGGGTTTGATTCCCCATCAGGGCACATGCCTGGTTGTGGGCTGGATCCCCAGCAGGGGGCGTGCAGGAGGCAGCTGATGGACGTTTGTTTCTCACACTGATGTTTCTCTCTCTCTAAAAAATCAATCAACACATATTTTTAAAGAAGAGCGAGAAAGAACTTACTTTGCTTCTAATGCCAAGGCGATGATTCCCGCCACCATGGGGGCTGACACCGAGGTCCCCGTGTGGCCGTCGGTGCAGCGCTGCCGCAGATCCGTGGTGACCTGGGAGGAGGGTAGCAAGAGGTGACGTCAGCTCTCAGGAGAGCTCCGAGGCCACTGAGTCCTGGGCACATGCGATCCCGAGTCCCAGGGATGGAAAAGGCGCTACTTGGTCGCATCTTGGCAACCAAGGTTTCCGCCGTATCTGTTGTTCCCTGCCTGTCTGCTTCGCTCTCACAGGTGAACAATGGACCCGCTGTACGAGCAAGCTAATCACAGGGCGAGGACGGGGCCAAGACGACGAGGAGCGTGCTGAGGCACAAAGGCAAGACCCACTGAAACAAAGAGGAGCCCCTCTGCAGAGTCCCCACGACACGACCACGAGCCAGAGTCCGCAGTGACACCCCAAGTCACCGCCTGACTTCAGAGCAGCTGGAAACACCCGGAGGGGCCCAGGGGGCCCAGAGAACGTGTCTGCCTTTAGCCAGAAGGTCAGACATCCTTCTGCCGCAGGATGTCCTCAGACAGCTGACAGAGTCCCAAAGCTCTGAGTTCTAATAGCAGCAGATGACCCTGGGGCCGGCTCCAGGCTGGGTGAGGGGACTGATCCTGGACCTCACTGTCGCGTGGCCTGCTGTGTACCTTGCCTCTGACCCGAAATGGACAGGCGGCCGCCGTCTGGCCAGCAGGTGTGGCCCCAGCTGTGTGACACTGTCACCTAGAGCCGCCCCATGCATTATGTGAATGGAATTAAGGTTGCTAACCAGCCTTAAATCAGGGAGTGTACCCTGGATTACCCGGTGGGACCAGTGCAATCACAGGGCCCTTCGAAGTGGGAACAGGCAGCATGAGGCACAAGAGGGACCCGACCCGTCACTGCTGGCTTCGCAGAGGGACTGGGGGACAGGCGAGGGGTGTGGGCGGCCCGTGAGAGCTGAGCACGGTCGCGACGAACAGCCCACAAGGAGACGGAAGCTTGGTCCTATAACCACAAGGGACTACCTTCTGCCAATAACCCGAACGAGCGGGACAGATTCCCCCAGAGCCTCCCGAATGGCACACAGCCGGCGACACCTGGGTCCCAGCCTTGGGAGGCTGAGGACAGACCCAGCTGAAGCCGCCACACCGCTGCCCTACAGAACCGTGCGCTGATCAATCTGGGCTCTTTCCAGCTGGTAAGTTTGGGATAATGTGTTATGACAGTGATAGGAATCTAATACACCTGCCAAGCGGCCAGTCTACATGACCCTGGACAACGCATCTCCCCAGGGACAGAGCATCTTCCAGACAGAGCACCTTCCTCGTCCCGTTTCATTTGGGCCAACAATTACGTAGTGAGAGGGGCCCAGCCTCTCTCTCTCTCTCTCTCTTTCCCCCTCCCTCCCTCCCTCGCACGCGCACGCATGCACACACACGAAGATTGGACACCAAAGCTAACAAGAACCAGCTTCCTCCACCATCCCTGGTCAGCAGGACAAGGCACCTTGACCTTGGGGAGGACAGCTGAAGAGAAGAGGGCAGGGATGAGATGCAGCCTCTCTGACCCCAGGATCTGCATCTGCAAGTGGGCTTCTGGGGAGTACTCAGTAATGGGGTCCACTGAGGGAGACTGGGGTGTCCGGGCAGGAGGCCACTCTCCCAGGGGTAGGGGGCGCCCATGGCTGGCTCTCCAGCCCCTGGGTGTGAGCAGAGGGGCCTCCCCCGGGGAGCAGATGGCTGAGCCGAGACGGACAGCCCCTGTCCTGAGACGGAGCGTCCGCGTGGAGCACAGCTCGTGTTTGGTGGATGACAGGAAAAGCCAAGACGTGAACCAGTAACTTCCGCCGTCACTGCTTTCATTGGGAGCCACACCCCAAACCAGCAACGCCTCACTTCAGGAGAACAGTGCCCAGCAGCCACTGCACAGAGAGGAACAGAGTTCTAGGGGACAGAGCTGCGACCTCCCTCAGACACTGTCAACTGGGGTCCCCTGGCAGGATGTCTAAGGGGACTCAGAGCCAAGACTCAGTGTAGTTGAGCAGGAAAAAACACACACAAGGAAACTAATACAAAACCGCCCTGGCCGGTTTGGCTCAGCGGTTAGAGCGTCGGCCTGCGGTCCACAGAGACCCGGGTTCGGTTCCCGCTAAGGGCATGTACCTTGGCTGCAGTTTGTCCCCGGCCCTGGTTGGTTCGTGTGGGTGGCGGCCACTCGATGTGTCCCTTTCACGTCGATGTTTCTCTCTCTTCCTCTCTCTCCTTCCCGCTCTATCTGAGTAAAAAATGGAAAAATGCCCTCGGGTGAGGATAAAAAAAAAACAAACAAACAAACATAAAAGCCGTCCATATTACCAGAAAAAGTCCTGGGACAGCATGTGTTCGCTCTTCGTACCCATACATTGCTGCTCAGAGATGTTTTTTATTCTAAAAAGGGGCATTTTACAGCACACACGCATGCACACGCACACGCATGCACACGCAGTCTGGTGAATGAAACACGCAATGCTGCCTGCCCTGCTCCCAGGGTGGGGACGCCCTGTCCTCCCAGCCCCCGGGACAGTGTCCCCCGACAGCCTCCGCCCCTCTGCCCTGCAGCCAGCAGCCCCCGCCAGGTTCGGGGCCGGCGTCTGTTTAACGAGACTCCAGCCAGCCCGCGCTCCAGCGAGCAGGGTTCCTACAGGAACAGGACGCCATTCAGAGTCTCGGCTGCCCGTCCCAGGGGCGCGTGCTCCGGCGGGAAAGAAAAATAACTGAAATTAATACCTTCGTTACCCGGCCCCGGCCGCTGCCGGGCTGGCGGCCGGACGATCGGGGCTGAGTTTTCCGTCGGTGCAAAGGGGAGAACAGGGGGCCTGTTTGCTGCCACCGAAGTAAATGTAAAAATAAACGCGCCGGTCATTTCTAAAGACGCGCGTGAGCTTTAAAAATTAAGCCCCGTCTGGCCAGCTCCCTGGTCTCGTTTTTCAAATGTCTAAAACCTCGACTTAATGACCGTGCATGTGAGCTGTGCATTAACTTCAGCTCAACACCCACCCCTCGTGCTTCTTTTTAAAGGGGAAAAGCACGTAGGAGGAAGCGCCGATTCCGTCCACATACCAAACGAAAACAGTTACTGTATCAAACACAAGTCACACTTGTGTTCATTGAAGTGAGCGCAGCAGGCAGAAACCCCTGCTCAGCTCAGTGTCCAGAAAAGTCCTTTTGTTACCAGCAGAATGCCCATAGGACCAGCTGGATTTACAGTCTTTTAACCGTAAACCAAACTTTCTCCTCCTCAATGTTGCGCGTTGAGACCGAACGGGTCGGTCGGACCCCAAGCGACGTGACCACAGAACTCGAGAAAGCTAAAAGGAGACGTTGTGGTGAGAACGGACCCCATTCTTAAAGGGTATTTTTAGATCTCTAAAGCCAGAGAGGGTTTTAACTGGCATTCTGTGCAAAAATTAGCCGGGCAGGGTCTGCGGAAGGTTGCCAAGGGACCGGGTTTACCCGGAGGCACAATGAGTTCACTGATGGGTGAGGGTGGTGCCCTGGAACTCGGGGCAAACTGGACTGGTCCTGGCTCATCTTTTCTGTTGTTGTTAATCCTCACCCAAGCATATTTTTTCTGATTTTTAGAGAGAGTGGAAGGGAGAGGGGGAGAGAGAGAGAAACATTGATGTGAGAGAGACACATGGATTGGTTGCCTCCTGCATGTGCCCTGACCGGGGCCAGGGATTGAACCTGCAACCCAGGTACGTGCCCTTGCCTGAGAATTGAACCCGGGACAACTGGAGCCTGGGCCGACGCTCTAACCACTGGCCCACACCAGCCAGGGCCTGGCGCATCTGTTTGTTAAGGAAAAAAGGGCCACCCCCCGAACCTCCACCTCCCCGGGAGCACTCACGATCTTCCGCTCGTAGAAAGCGCCGCTGCTGTAGGTGGTGGCCAGGGTGGACGCGCACTCCTCCAGGTACCACGGCTTGTAGCCGTTCTCAGTGGTGCTGCTCACGGAGATGGTGTAGATGCTGTTGGTGTAGCCGTCGCAGGAGCAGTGGTCCCCCTCTCTCCCCCCGTTCCCCGAGGCCCAGACGAAGATGGAGCCCAAGCCCTGGCGGCCCTGGAAGGGAGGACAAGACATCAGCGCGGGGGTTGGAACCGGCACGGTGGGTGTCGCACGGGCCTGGAGCCCCTCTTCCAGTTCCCTTCACGGGGGCCACGAAGGATGTTAGACCACGTGGATGCCACTGGGGACATGGTGTGATTTCACAGAGGGCTCTGCTTTGAATCACAGGATTGGGCCGAGGACAAGACCCGGGAGGACCTCTCTGCTCTTCATGGGGAAACCAAGGGCCCTCAGACAAGCTGTCCTGTCCCAGAACTTTGCCAAGAATTTCCTTTATAATGACCCAGGTCAGAAAGAGCAAACAGTGCCACAAGTAATACAGAGATGCGAGATGGTGGCTGAAAGGTACTTTTTCTGGGTCGAACGACCTGGCGCTGTGCGGGGGGCATAGTTCCTGCAAACCTGGCTCTCCGTGGAGAGCGAGTCACCATGACGAGAGGGACGGGGCCACGATCTCTGGGTACAGAGGGCGCTGCGAGCCCGGGCGGCACTGGAGTGAGCGTTGCCGCGGCCAGGGTGTCAGGGCCAGCCAAGGCCAGTGGCTCCCCCTGTGTGTCGAGTGCATTTTTAAGCACACACACATGAAAGCAAGTCTTTGAGGGACAGTGGCCGGCCCAGCGGGGTTCCTGTCCTATCCCATACCCACAGGATTAGAGATTTGTGACCAGACCAAGTGGTCGCTCCAGCCACAGGAGATGAGCTCGTCCAAGACCCACTGGGCTCGAGTGGTCGGACCTGTCGGTGGGCACAGCCAGTCCTGGAGAGCTCGGCCAACACCCGTCTCCACAGGAAACTGGACCCTCGGGGCTGGGCACGCTGGCGTCCTGCCAACACCCTCCTTCCAAACGCGCAGTGGGAAATGGATCCTTATGCCCACAAGTGGCCAATTTAAAGAAAACTGTCAACAAAATTCTGCAATCCGTCTGCAGTCCAAGTGCACACAGTCCTATTGCCGACAGGACGCCTCACACTCGCCCTTCGAGAGGGGGGCCACCCCGGGCCGAGTGGAGGGCCACCCCGGGCCGAGATGGGGGCCACCCTGGGCCGAGAGGACCCTGGTCTGGAAGTCCCATGCCACCCCACTGTGCAGAACAAGTGCCACAGTTTTCCACCTTCTGTTGGTCATGATCTGACATTTCCTGCAGTTCAACAAGGCCCACAGGAAGGTCCCCATGCTCTCCAGGTCCACTGTTCACAGTGGCCTCATGCACCTGCTTTCCACCGAGGACGTGGACCTGACCGAGGGGCCAAGGGTGTGACAGAAAGGTTAGCCCCAGTTAGCAAACAGGTCAACATTCTGGGAGAAAGGCACACAACACGCAGGAAGTGGGCGTGTCTGGGCATCTGCTCACCTGCAGACAAGCTACGAAAATCCAAACAGAAAGGTGTTTAACCCATCGGAGCCCATCTCTGTCCCATGACAGTCCCCTCTGAGACACTCACCCCCACGTCCCCATGCCACTCTAAACTACTTATGAAACGCTGTCATTTTGCAAAATAAGGTGGCAAGTTGGCTGCCCAGCGGCACAGACAGTGGCCTCAGACAGCACCCCTCAATCCCGAGCATGCGCACAAATCCTGGGGAGCTGAAAGTCTGGACTTCCAGCCAGCCTGCCGCGTCCACACCCCACTTTGAATATCAAGGTCACAGTGACGTCCACCTGCCCTCTGGGACAGCACCTCAGGAGCAAATGTATGGAGCACCCTGAAGACCAACCAGAAGCACCTCATCCTGCCCAAGCAAGGCTTCTGATGTCTCTCCCACCACCGACGCCATCCACCTGAGATGAAGTCAGATTTCGCAAGAAAAGACTACAGTTGACAAATGGGTTGCTGAGGAATTAAAAAAACCAAAAAACACAAAAACCAGATGGGGAAGTGTGGTTCGGGCTATCATCAAACTTCCAGGAGGGTTTTCCGAGACAACTTCAGACAGCTGCGATTTAAGGCTCCCTCCATGACATATTTTACATCAGGATGACTCAGAAAACAAACGAAATGAACTCAGTCATTCAAAACACGGTGACAAGAAGGACGGGGGCCGCACGGTCCCTCCTGCAACGTCCCCTCTCCCTGACGGCCTGATGATGCTGGTGTGCTCAGAACTCGGGGCGAAGAGTTCCAGACTCCCCAAGTCCATACAGACCCAGGGGAGGCTGAGAACGCAGATAACTGGTCCAAAGTACTCATCACCTCCCCCGGAAATAGGGGGCGCCATCCCGAGAGCTCAGAGAAAGGACAGCCGGGCAGGACGAACACCACTCAAAGCAGTAACTTCCTGCAGAAACGGGAATCTCTCCTTTACAGCTTCAGTGAGCTCGGTGCTGGGGAGTCCGCCCTTGCCGTCGGGTGTGCGAGCCCAGCGACGTAGTGGGTGGCGGGACCTGAGCATGGAGCTGAGACACGTTCCTTCGGCAGGCCCCCCCCCCCCCAGGGCAGCAGCTGACGGGCCTGCCTGGATCTCCCAGCATCCCCGGTTCAGCGCCGAGTCAGGAGGTGATGGTAGCGAGGCCTGCGCCCAGGAAGCGGGGTTGCTGGGTTGGGGGCTTTCTTAGAGATAAGTACTCAGCCCCCCTACTAGGAAATTAGTGGAAAATGACTCAACTCGACGTCCCCAGAGAAGCAGGCAGATCTATTTAGAAAAAGGAACTCAGGAGCAGGGCTTGAGAAGCTGGCTCCTCTGTGGGGCAGGACGGGGGGAGGGGCAGGGAGGCAAGGCCGCGGGCAATCTAACGCTGTGGTGCTGTTCAATTTCTTCATTAACTGTATCAACCACGTCTTAATCCCGGTGCATGGGTCCCAAGGAGATATGAACTCTTCAAGGGGCTTTACTACTGTGTCCGCCCCCGTCCCCCATCCCTGGCCCCTCTCTCCTCCCTCCAACAGGAGAAGGCAGAGGCAGAAATGCTGCCCAGGGACGCCTGAATTTCCTGCCCAAACCCCTGCCAGCATCACCGGGCCACACCTTGTGCTCTGGGCTGGGCTTGTTGGGCCACCCAGGGCCACCTAGGTGCTGACCACAGCTTCATCTGTCTGCTCCAAGAAGCTGTCCTCACCCAGAAATCTGCCTCACCACCCTGCTTGTTACAGCTGGGTCATCGCCAGCCCCCCTCCCCCCCTCCACAGCCTCTCTGACTCACAAGGACCTAGAGTGGATGATCCCGGAGTGACTGGGGAGGGACCTCCTGGGAGGGGCCTGCAGCCTCCGCGTGTCCCCGGAGCCGTCCCTGGAGAACCAGCCTCAGAAGTTTGCTCTGTTTAGTCCCTGGCAGGCTTCCGCCCCCACATGCTGGCAGGGAGGGCGGCAAGCAAGACCAAGACTTCCTGCTGAGGGTTTGGATCAGTGCACACCCAGGATGGGCACAGAAAGCGCCACGCTGGGTATTTCTGTGGCCAGGACGCCCAGCCACCTGCACAGTGCAAATACCAGGCCAGGTGGTCGGACTGAGACCCACACCACCCACCTGTTCACGCCCCTCCGCCGGGCACCAGGCTCCAGGTGCAGAGCCCCGGGTCCGGGGGATGCCCTGCTGGCACCGCTGAACCAGCTACTCTGTAACCAGGTGCTGCTTCTTCCCCGAGCCCTTGATGACTTCTCCCTCGGTCTGGTCCTGGCACAGCGGGGACCTTCGGTTTCATCTCGGGGTTCTGGCCTGTGCCACTCCGATTTGTCATTGTTAACGTTCCTTGACCGCCGCCCCGGCCCCGAGCGTGCTACCGCAGCCCTGGGTTACTCACACCTTTTTAATGCCGTACTCGAAGGCCTGCTTAGCCAGCCGGCCCGGCCCGTCCACCGTCTTCCCGTCGTCATCGGGCCCCCAGCTCGCGCTGTAGATGTCGATGTAGTTGGGTCTGACGCCCAGCGACTTCGCCTCCACGACATCGGTCACGTCCCCGTCCAGCATGCGGACGCCTGGAACACAGAGGGTGCACGCCTGTCCCCACAGAGACCGCGGCCCGGGAGCAGGGGCGCGGCCGGAGAGCCCCAAACCGCCTGGGAGTCATCCAGCATCATTCTGGACACTTTTCTCCCCATTCCGTGCTGGCCGAGGAGCAGGAATTAAAGTGACACCGCAGGCCACTTGGCAATGCCCCAGCACAGCGACAGCAAAGAAACAGAGCTCCCCGGGGGGAGAGTTTCCTCTGCAGGAGGGTGCCACACGGGCAGTTAAAAACGGGCACTTCTCTGACACAACTCCGCCGTCTCCAGCATTCCCAGCTGCTGATACTTTGTATTTATTTCCCCCATCCCTGATTTACAATTAGGAGCTTGAAACCAAGAAGACAGAGGCCGTGCCTTAGCCTTGGTGGAGGGGCCAAGTCACCGCTGTGTGTGCTCCCTGGAGGGTCTTTAGGAGGTGGGGGGAGTGGGCGCCCACCGGCCTCTCGCAGTGCCTGGCTCCCGGCCAGGGTGCCTCCTCCCGCCCGTGCCCAGGGTTTGCGTCATCACTGCTACACTCTCCATGTGGCAGGTGTGGTCCCCCCGCCACGCCCAGGGCCTCACCCGAGAGGGGCTGAATGATGCTGACAGTGACTGGGGAGCAGAGGTGATGAGGCCATCAGCACCCTGCTCAGACTGCCAGGGATGCGCCAAGTCACACGCCTCTGAGAGCCAAGCGTCTGCAGGGCACGCCTTTCAACAAAACCAGCTTTAGATCTTAGAGCTGCTTCAGACAGAATGGAAAAGGAGACTTTTCCTGATTATGAGACTCATACGTGCTCTTTGTAGAAATTTTGGAAAATTGAGAAATAACTAGCGACGACATTCGGATTGTTTCCTTCGAGTATTTTCCTTTGCCTGCAGGACACAATTCTGCTCAAGTTCTCTCCCCGCCCCCCCGGAATTTTATACAGAACATTTCCCGGTGCCATTAAAGACTCCTAAGACCCATGCCCTGCCCCTTGCAGAGCAAACTGCTCCAAATCTCAGATCATCCTTCCCATCGCCTTTCAACAACCAGCGTTTTGATAGTTACTTGCACGTCCTGCTCGAACAGCTGTCACTGAGTTCTGCCTGTACGGGAATCAGCCTTGCTCGGTCACGCGTGATACATGTTTTATCCCGATGGGGGGGTTTGTCTTCCCACTTTGCCCACAGTCTTTGGATAAACAGAATTTCTTTCTCTCTTTTTAAATATGTTTTTATTGGTTTTTTAGTGAGAGAGAGATAGAAATATTGATGTGAGGGAGACACAATTGGCTGCCTCCTGCACGCCCCCTACTGGGGATCGAGCCTGCAACCCAGGCATGTGCCCCAACCGGGAATCGAACTGGTACCTCTCAGTCCGTGGGACGGCGCTCAACCACGGAGCCACACCAGCCAGGAGATAAACAGAATTTCCGAACTTCAATAGAGTAGGAACTGATTTCCCTTGGAAGATCAAGGCAGTCATGATGGGGGCCCACTCTTTGCTATCGGGGCTCCTTTCACCTTGTCACAGGAGGGCAGCGTCACCTCGGTTACACCAGCTCACTGTCCTCACTCCTTGCTGGCTCAGCGTGGGGGAAACAGTGCAGGGGACAGAGAGTCCTGGTGTGGAGGCTCTGCTGTGTGACCTTGGGCTAGCGTCTCAACCTCTCTGAGCCCTTGCTTCCCCCAATATTGAGCTGGGGGTTAGTGGAGAGGATTACATATGTTGAGGCCCTGGCACCCGGTGCTGTTTGAGAAAGAGAATTCCTTATGGTTTTATTTTCAGCAAAGAGCTTTCTGGGGCAGGAGACCCTGCCTGCTGGCCACACAGGCAGCCAAAATCAACTCTGATGTTCTCGTGGGGAAATGTAACCCACTGTTCTCGGCCTCCACGCAAGTCCTAGATGTCAGGACGCCTATTTTTGAACAAGAAGAACAGATGCCAGAAGACATCCCGGAGGACGTAAAAACATCTGACCAGACCGATTTTTCGACGCCTCCATCTCCAAAAAATGACCGATGGAGGAGAAAGAAAGCCTCATGTACCTGGGTTTTAATGGACCATCTAATTTCTGCAACACTGACAGGTTGCCAGCAAAGAAAAGGTAAATATTTTCCGTAGAAACCCGCTGTTCCAATATTAGCTTTCAATGCGAGCGGCTCCCTGGAAATGCCGAAGGAAGAAAAACAGGAATCGTTTCTCTAATGCAAGAAGAAAGGTCCATTTACCATAAATGATCAGGTACGAAAATAACTTGGACAAATCACTTGGATGGCGAATTAATGGCCGGTCCCTAGCGTGTTCACGGCGGCCACAGCGTGCGGGGTTCGGAGTCAGGGTGGCAGGTCCCCCTCTGGTGACCAGCCTGTGCACGAGGCAGGAGGAGTCTTAGGCAGAAAGACGATGGTGCTTTGCAGAACCTAATGAATTCATGTTTGGGTGAATAATTCAGAGGTGTCGCCAGGGCTCCAGATCCCAACTGACCTTCTGGTCACCCTCAGGAGCTACAGGCCGGACACACAGACGCGGGCCTGGCTCACTTTAAATAGATGTTTCCCTGTAAAACTGCCTGAACCCAACTGCACTTTTTTTTTTTAATCCTCACCTGAGGATATTTTTTCCATTGATTTTCAGAGAGATTGGAAGGAAAGGAGGGAAGGGAGAAGGAGGAGAGAGAGAAACATCCACGTGTCGATTGGTTGCCTCCTACATGCTCCCCAATCTGGGCTGGGGATCAAACCTGCAACCCAAGTACATGCCTTTGACCAGGAGTTGAACCCGTGACCCTTTGGTGTGCAGATTGAGGCCCTAACCACTGAACCACACCAGCCAGGGCCCCAACCACATTCAATGCCCTGGGAGAACTTGCCGATATGAACGATTTTACAGTCCTCCAGGGAAAGGTCAAACATCCAGTATGGCTCTTTTCCCGTGACCCGTCCTCCCACCCTTCCCCCACTCCTCGGTTGGCTTGCGACTTTCCAAATGACAGGCCTGTGGACACACAGCGGCTCTTTAGCACAACACGGGACACAGCATGTCCCCTGAAAATGCCCGAGGGAGCTCCATGCTAAAAGACAATGGGGAATTCAGGGTGGGACTGTTTTTGCAGACCTGGTGTTTAAAGAGGCAGTTAAGCTAAAATGAGGCCCTCTATATGGGCCCTCATCCTCGATGACTGGTGTCCTTGTACGAAGAGGAAAGGCAGACTTAGACCACACACAGACCGAGGGCTGACCTTGTGAGGACACAGTGAGTAGCAGCCACCTGCAAGCCAAGGGCAGAGGCCTTAGAAGAAACCAGATCTGCTGCCACATTGATCTTAGACTTCTAGCGTCCAAAACTGAGAGAAAATAAATTTCAATTGGGTAAGCAAAAAAAAAAGGCAATGAAAGTACACACACCCGTGCATGTACACGTACTCATGCATGTACACACACCCATGCATGTACACACTCATGTACACATACCCATGCATGTACACATACCCGTGCATGTACACATACCCATGCATGTACACACACCCGTGCATGTATACACACCCATGCATGTACACATACGTGTGCATGTACACATACCCATGCATGTACACACACCTGTGCATGTACACACACCTGTGCATGTACACACACCCACGTATACACGTGCCAGTACAAGAAGTCAGCTGTCAGCCAGGCTGTTAACATCTGGAGGAAGGCAGGGGAGAAGAGCATGATGGGCCCACGTTTGCTCACTGAGAAAGTCATGTACTCTGCCTTCAGCAAACGGATGGCAATGCGAAAACCGTGAACAGCGGCAAAGGAAATCAGATTGCAGTTAACTGAGTGTGACAAATCGGCCTGCCTGACAAATTTCGCTCATTAATCCTGAGTTTACTGTGGTAAATCCACAGAGGATTAGTGCTCCCCCCTTCCAAAAAAAAATATAGTACCTTCTGTTCTACCAGCAGCCACTCTGGGCCAAGTGGGGTTTTGGTTTCAGCAGTTGTTGAGAAATGCTCCAACCTAAAAGGGTTCTGTCAACTCTCATCATCACCCGACAGTAACAGGGCCCTCGGACCCCTCGGTGTGCCCACACGTGGCAGCCTTGTTCCAGAGCCCCTGCGGCTGTGATCTGGCGAGACGAAGGCACACACCATCCTCACTGTCGCCTGCAGACGAGCCCAGCCTCTCCGGCCTCCTGCTGCCGTTGGCCCTGGTCCTCGCAGAGTGAGGTGCCCCTGGGGCCAGGGCTGTGCCCGTGAGCTCTGGGTCAAAGGGATGCGGCGGAGGCTAGGGAGGGCCCTGCGTGAACCGTGTCTTCTATTTCCTGCATCTGGGGGCCTGACACCCCACACCCCAGAGTTGGCCAGTTCCCAGGGACAGCAAACAGAGCCCCTGTGTGGGCTCCTTCCGCAAGCGAGCCAACCGGTCCAGGGCCCACACCAACCACCTCTTACAGTCTCACACTCACAGACAATATCCTTCATCACCCCAGGGCCAGGTACCAGACAATTAGGGACAGCCCCTGTACCCAGAGCCCTGAGTTATTCCAACAGGCCAATCCTGGCCCTGCTTAACCTGCCTGGCCTGTTCCTTCCTGCAGAAACCACCTTGGATCTTCAGCCCACTGGTTCCCACGCTCCCCTGCCCCCCGACGGGCCCCGGCGCTTCCTCGAGCGGCTCCCCCATGAGAACTCTGGGTCACCAACTCCGCTCGATGCCACTGTCCCCTCGCCTGTTGGTCTTGCCAAACCTAAATAAAGGATGAAACTGTTCAAAAACCGGCCACTCTTCCATCAGCAGGGCCTGCTGATTTTGCACAGAATGGCGTGAACTCGGAGAGCCTCCGCAAGGGCCAGAGATTCGAAATCTAGACGGACTTTCCTGGTCTGCAGCCAGTGCACAGGGGCCAGAGAATGACAGTGGGTCACCTGGGCTCAGCAAGAGCTGGCAGCCTGGGACGCTGGACAGCACGGCAAGTGTCTGAGCCAGAGGGGGCGCCCATACCTACACTCTGCAAG